TAATTAATATGAATAAAGATGCTATCAGAAAAGGAATATTGTTGCCAGGGCACTGATCACACTTTGGAAATCAAGCATTTGGGAATCAGTACAGAGTGTTGAGTGGGAAAGAGCTGTCTCCTCTTCTAAAATACCATCATCTGGCCAGTACAAGTGGAGTGGTCACAGGAAGTGAGGCATCCTGCTAGGCATCACGGCTGTCCACACGGTGCCAACCAGGCAGAGAGCCTTTCATATGTGAGTTGAAAGCTTGTGACAACTTTGGGTATGTATCCAGGCCCCACAATACACTTGGCAGGCATGAGCACCCTTCACTGTGAGATCTGGGATTTGTCATTTAAGTTGCAGATCTTTTCTTTTACTGTCCTTCAGACTTCACCCAGGCCAGATTTGGAAAGGAATGTGTCACTGCAGGGAAAGGAGGGAACACAGCAACAGATCATTTAGAATCAAGCTGAGACTCTCTCAAAGGTGTCTTTGATCTTGACTGTTCACAAACCAGCAAAACATTGCATAAAATCAAAATATAAAAAGGAAATAAACCATACAAGAGAGAACTGTGCTTAAATTATAGCAGAAAAAATTTAGAGCACATTTAAAGCAATATTCTCTGAAAGGAAAAAGTGTTAAAATCAGAAGATCAAACAAATATCCATTGATAGATGAATGGATCAGGAATATATATATCTCAGGAAGATATGTATATACACACACACAGACATATATATATATATATATATATACCCACCCACATACATACATATATATACATATACACACAATGGAATATTACTCAGCCATCAAAAAGAATGAAATCAGGGCGCCTGGGTGGCTCAGTCGATTGAGCGTCCGACTTCAGCTCAGGTCATGATCTCGCAGTCTGTGAGTTCGAGCCCCACGTCATGCTCTGTGCTGACGGCTCATAGCCTGGAGTCTGTTTCAGATTCTGTGTGTCTCTCTCTCTCTGACCCTCCCCTGTTCATTCTCTGTCTCTCTCTGTCTCAAAAATAAATAAACGTTAAAAAAAAAAAAAAAAGAATGAAATCTTGCCATTTGCAATGATGTGGTCAGAGCTAGAGTGTATTGTGCTAAGTGAAATAAATCAGTCAGAGAAAGACAAATACCACATGATTTCACTCATATGTGAAATTTAAGAAACAGATGAACATAGGGGAACAGAAAAAGAGAGAGGGGGGAAGCAAATCATAAGAGACTCATAACTATAGAAAACAAACTGAGGATTGCTGGAGGGGAAGTGGGCAGGGGACAGGCTAAATGGGTGATGGGTATTAAGGAAGCCACTTGTTGTGATGAGCACTGGGTATTATATTTAAGTGATGAATCACTAAATTCTACACCTGAAACCAATTTTGCCATATATGTTAACTAACTAGAATTTAAATACAAACTTGAAATTAAAAAAAAATCCTATGGTAAAAAAAAAAAAAGTTGGAGGATCACAAGAGGTGCTAAAATCCCTTTAAATATTTTCTTTTGGGGCGCCTTGGTGCCTTAGTTGGTTAAGCGTCTGATTTTGGCTCAGGTCATGATCTTACGGTTCGGGAGTTTGAGCACCACATCAGGCTCTGTGCTGACAGCTCAGAGCCTGGAGCCTGCCTCAGACTCTGTGTCTCCCTCTCTTTCTGCCCCTACCCTGTTCACACTCTGTCTCTCTCTCAAGCATTAAACATTAAAAAAAAAAAAAAAAAAAAAAAAAAAAAAAAAAAATTTTTAATTTTCTTTATTGGAAAAGAGAGATTATAACCCTTTTGAAAGGTTAAATCCCTTTTTTAAACTCATTAACCCAATGATAGATTTTCTCTATTGATTTTTTCATTCAGTAATCACATGTAAATGCCCCATTATGTCCCAGGCACTGTGCTAAGTTTAATGATGCAAAGACTTTTATTCCATTATCTCAGTAATGTTGTCACATCTGCAGACTCAATGGCACTGTCTTCCTGAAATGACATAGAGGTCAAAAGCTCTCCTAAATATCGTCCAGGGCTGTGTCATCATGTCAACCGATCTGTGTTATCATTTTAGGAAAAAGTTAATTTTTAGTTAAGTTCATATTTTTTTAATATCTTTGGTATGGAAACATGACAACTAGTTGGCACACTAACATGCTGAGTTTGCAACTTCAAATATGTTAAGCCTGAAGTCTTCTTTCCAGAAGGTCTTTCTGGTAAGTCTTTTTCCATCTTCTCGATTCCATGACTCCCAAGAGCCCTCCTAGTTTAACTGCTCTCAGCCTTCTATATTAATATTAGTCTGCAGTGATGACGGTCCCCAGCTTCCTCCTCTGTTGTGCCCCCTCCCCTCCCTGCTGCAGCGGCCCAGAGAGACAAAGCAGCTTCCTGCATTCATGGCTATAGCATTCGTTATGCCAGGGCCAGATCGACTAACTGTCCCTCAAGGACCTGCACTAAGACTAGTTACTGGAGCAGCCTTCATGGAGGTTAGAATAGTTATCTTGATCCCTCAGCTGGAGCCATGACAGTCTTTCCAGGCTCCCATCCTTGACATGGATTGTTTCTGGTGACATATTCTCTACCCAGACCATTGAAACATGAATATATTTGATTCTGACCCCAGAAGCATGGTAAGCCTCACAGCCTCACAACCAAAGCACGAAGGAAAACCTAAAAGTCCTTGCTGTCTCAACTGTTTTCAAAACAAATAATAGTTATGCCAGTAAAACTGTCATTTTAAGTGAATTTCCTAATTTAAGGAAGGAAAACATAAAAGCATAAGGCTTTTCTGCCCGTCTTCTTCAGATCAGAGATTCTCTCTCCTTGGGCTAGTATGTCTCATTACTCCAGGACAGCAGTCATAAAAGGAAGGCAGCATGGTAACTGTTTAATGGACATTTTCTCAGAAATTAAAGTGCCGCTTTTCAAAAGACAGTCAATCACTTTGTGGTGCAGGCCCCAGGGAACTGCACACACATTGCTGCTTCTGCCGCACACACAACGCCCAGGTACACACAGCACCAGCATCACATGTTTTTGTTGTTTGAATTAAAGCAAGTAGAATGTACTGCTCAGTGATCAAAGCCTTTGACCATCATATAAAATCAATCAAAATGCTCTTTATTCATCATAATTTCCCCATCTTCAGCAAATGCCATTCCAAAGTATGGCAGGGAGACCGATCTCTTTCTTCCAATATGTGTTGCTTTGGGGGTTTGGTTTTTGTTTTTGTTTTTGTTTTGAGTTTTAAGGTTGGGGGTTGTATTTTGGGGAAGTGGTATTGTTTAGTTGTTTGGAGTTTTTCCCCCAGTGTTTTGGGGGCCTACTGACAAACTATTATGGATCTCAGATGTTCATGTTTGGTCAGGATCTATAGCCTTTTTTGTTTGTTTGTTTTATGTCCCCACTGATAGTAGCCATCTGTACAGGAAAAATGGATTTTGGTTCATAAAGAAAGAAAGAAATATTACAGCCCTTTGATCGTTAACTTTCCCTTCCCCACCTTTTTCTAAAGATCCAGGATTCCTCCCTCAGCACCAGACACAAACGATAGTCTGGTAAAGAAACCACTACAGCTCAGGCGAGGCATAAATGTGCCTATATTGTCTGATGTTGAAGAATTTTGTCAGACAGTAGGTACCGACCATGACATTGGTGAAAGAAATAAAAACCACTAGGGAAGGTTATGTTCCAGCTCCATTTTCCTCGAACCCTGCAGTTCAAACCGATGCCTCTATTTTCCGCTGTATCCTACAAGATAGTTGCTTGTCATTCTTCTAAAGAAGCAAGGCTCCAGCGAATATTAACCCCCCTTCCTGCCCCCATGCTGAGGATTTATGAGAATCTGTCCTTGGGCAAAACACTAGTCCAGGATTTAAGGGGTGGGTGAAAGGGTCCTTCACCTTGTCCAGGCTGCTTTGCACTTAAGGCCATAAACGCTGACAAGTTCCCCCACCCCTGGCCTTCACTAATGTCCAGTCCTGATGAAGCAGTATAGTCACAGTTGGAAGTGGCCAGCAAATATTTGCTGACTCAACATTCAAAAGTGATCACTGCATTTCCTGGGTTCAGAAATTGACCTCAAAAGAATAGATTCAGGCATGTTGCAATACAGTTAATAAAGGACTTTGAAGATGTTGAATATGATGTGAGTACTGAAACTTTCTTTTTGGCTCGAGCACTCCTTGGGTACATATGTGCTCTTTGAATTTTTGTGGTTAATTACCATTAGAAAGTGTCAATTTTTCCTGTTGTCTTTGAGTATATAATGACTTCTGGCAAATTTCAGAATGGATATGAATATTGAGCATAAATTTGAAATGCTATTGCTATAAGCCACTGAACTGGGGTTACATTTTAAAATCTGGAATATATAAAAATGTGTAAGGGATGGATCTTTAGTTTTTTAACAAAGAGTTCAAAGGAAAGTTACTGTTTATAAAGTAAGCCAGCTCCTACAAAGACTCCAGCAGTCAACTCCATGGGCAGGAAGAGGTAGGAAACAGGACTATAACTTTGATGATCCCACAGTCTCCAGAACCTTCCAGCAGGCCATGAAAGCCCAGAGAAGAATGCTGTGCCCTTCCTCATAGCCCACTTACTAAAATAAAGCAAACAGACATTTTCAATCTTCACAAAATATTTCAAGCATTTGGGATTTCCTTGCGTTTTTGTAGACAATTGGATTCTAGAGGGTGCATTTGCAAAGCCATTCCCAGAAACAGTCATTCTGAAATGACAGCACCCTGCTTTCTAAAATGGCCACCAAATAACTAATGCCAGGCTATCATGGGGCACCAGCTTTCATTCCCAATTATATTTTTATATACATAATTTTTTTTTTTTAACCATTAGGAGGCCATTGACCTGATGATGGCCCTTCATGTTCCAGGTGATGGTTGACAGACGTGCAGCCTGTGTGCTTCTTCTCTCCTTTGGTCGAATGACAGCTTGCTCGGTGGTGTTTCGTGTTTGCTCACTTGGTTTTCCTTCCCTCTCCTTCCCGGGGGCCTCGTGGGCTGGCAGCGCCGTGGTCCAGCAGGCCAACTGCAGAGCCTCTGTGCCTTCCAGCAAGGGCAGCAGCAGCGGCAGCAGCAGCGGCAGCAGCAGCTCCTCCAGTGACTCAGAGAGCAGCTCGGGATCTGACTCGGAGACGGAGAGCAGTTCCAGCGAGAGTGAGGGCAGCAAGCCTCCCCACTACTCCAGCCCCGAGGTAAGAGCCTGAGCCCCTCCTGCCCTCCGCGCCTCTCTCAGTGAGCACAATAAATCCCCTGGAGTCTGCTTCTCACACCTCCCGCCCTCCCCCACCCCACCCCTCTTCCTCAGAAAGCGGGACTGGCCTGGAGGCTACCACCGCTTGGCAGCCTGTCAGGGTTTGTTTGGGTTCATCATCTTACCCACTCTGTCCCCTCCTCACAGTTCTCCTAATTACAGAGCTCCCTTTGAAGTACAGACACTTCGTCTTTCATTGTCCAAAAATCTCTATCTCAACTTTCGGTATGCTGTACACATCACCGCCTGGAAATAACCTCTAGATCAGGTCTCCCTAATAACTAGGAGGCAATAACTAGGCAGGGCAGTTCACCACCTGGGAAGAGTGACCACCCATAAATCAGGGACAAAGGAGTGTTATGGATTAGACATGCTTAGAATCCTACCTTTTTGCAGTTTGTCACGGATTAGAGGAACAAGGACTATAAATATTAATAAAACCTTCTTAACTGCATTTTCTTTGTGAAAATATAAAAAGAAAAATTAGCATCAACCTACAAATAATAATGAAACCTTTTATAGCTATGATGAGTATCTATGTGGAAAATTTAGGTGCCTCATATAAAAGCATTATAAGGTACCAATAAAAACCACTGCTATTCCTACTTTAAAGGGGAAAGGGGGAAATTAAAGAGTAATTCAGTGCATGGAGATTCTCGAGAGAGGGTTGAAAGCAAACTTCTCAAGTCCCTGGAACTGTAAGGGTAGACTTTGATTGCTAAAGAAAGAATAAAATACAGTTTCTCCTTGGGTGTATAAATATTTGGCATTACCATGGATCATAGGATTTAAGTTTTTTTGCCTACAGCCCTCTGTACTACTTTGGGGCCCAAATTTCTAAATAGGCTCTGAAATAAAACCGAAGTCACTTTTGCAAACCCTGGCAGTGAAAGGGGAGCACCGCTAAGGGCCTGCACGATCTACGTTGCCAGCTTTGTACCTGTGACTCACGACATCATCACACCCAAAAGCAACTGTGTTTTTATCTGGAGTTCATAGACTGGCTCCTAAATTCCCTCAGGTTTTTCCCCTTCCAGTCTCCTCCTCTCAGGAGGCTAAGGCTTTTTGCAGAAGCATTGAGAATTTCCCCTAAGTGCTCATTTCCTATAGTACCTTTCTGCTCTTCACTGAGATCTCTCCATTCGTCCCAAAATAAACCATCTCTCCATCTCTCCTGCCTTTTTCTCTCCTTTTCATGATGCTTACCTCCTCCCCCATCTCTCTCTATTTCTGTCTCTGTCTCCCAATATAACAGGAAGGCCCTTAGCAACATCAACCTATAAACGCCACAGGTTGATATAACCCTGACTTTCCCAGAATCTAAATTGTTATTCCTTCTTCATAATTTCATTCATTCACTCACTCATTTTGTTCATTCCACAAATATTTACTGAGCATCTGCCAAGGGGCTTAGCTCTGGAATACAGCAATTATTTGACAGGAGAGGTCCCTGTCTTCAGGGAACTGGCATTCTAATGGGAATAACTTGAAACAAAAAAGTACAGGAGTGAAACAAAATAAGGAGTTGAGAAGCCATCCTAATGCTATAATTTGTTGAGAAATTCCAGAATATTTAGTTATAAGAAATAACTGGGTACCAGGGACATGGCAAAGGGCAGTGGAGATGCATAAAAAGTGTTAGTGTCCATGAACAACCCTTCCTCCAGTCTCTTTGTGACTTTGAAGGTTAAATTCATGAATGTTGGGTCTTATTTTCATGCTGAAATGTGAATCCTGGAGCTTCTGGATGAGGCTAAACCTCATCTAAGAGAAGTACAGTTATAAAGTGCTTGGAGGAAATTCTTTTTAAATGTCACTGAGATAATTACAAAGACTTGAACTTCTTGGTGATGAAAGGAAGCTCTCGTGGAGGAAGCTTCCAGCAGCTATCCAGGGCCCCTCACCAAGGAAGGGAGCACAAGTCTACTACAGCAGGCCTAAAAGTTTAAGTTGCCTAAAGCCACAGAGTTTCAACTCCCTGCTTCTCTGTGCAGAGGGAATGCAGAAGTGACAAGCTATGTATTAGCCACGATGCCTGTTACTGCTGTCTGCTGGAAAGGAATGTATCAGTTGGAGTAAAAGTAAGATTTAACATTTTCCCTGAGATGAATACAGACACACACCCTTTAAAAATAAAATGAGTCTGCAGAATGAAAATCACAAAGATAGGAGGTAGCATTCTATGGCTGACCCTCCCCAGCATCTCTGTTTTACTGTGACTTGGCTGGCCCACGTCATCTTAAGGAGGGCGGTGATATTCCTTTTCCTGAACCCCACAAGACAATTGGACTCTGTATATCCACACGTCTCACATTCCACTGCACAGACAATTCATACGGCTGCTTTGAACAAAATGTTCCTGGCCATCACTTACCTGCTGGTACCATCCTGATGTGGGAGTACAAGGAGGCATGCATGATGGTCCAAGGCACCTGCATGCTCCCCTTCTACGTGCCAGCACGGGAAACCCACTGGGCCCAGCTACGTTTCATCTGAACTGTTCTTCATGGCTGTGGTTGTAGAAAGGCACTTATTTTACATGAATCACCATAGGTAATGTCATATCTGCGGCTAGCACAGAAGAGCCGCTGTGAACAGTGTTTCCACACTACAGATCCCCTTTCGGTGGCCTGATATTTGCTTAGTTGTTCTCAGCCTAATTTCCTTCACTTGTGTTTTATCTTCTTTCCTGGCATGGTGCATCTTTTCATGTGTGAGCTTTCCAGGGGGAAGCACCTTCCCCCTCAGCTAGTACATGAGCTCCCTAGAGCGGTATTCCACAAGTAATAGGTGTCACATGGGAAAAAGAAACCCCGGTCACATGATTTTATGGAGTGTCAGGATAAAGTCGGTTTAACCCATCTCTTTAGGGCAACACCCAGCCCTTAAATATTGCTCATGTAAACTGTTTTCCATTGTGGCATTTCCCAAACTTATCTGACCCTGGAAACTTTTCTTCATGGAATATATGAACTGAATGCACATTTTGGAAAATGCTGCCTTAGCTTGTTCCTAAAAATCAACAGAAATGTGACACAAGTCACTCATTGATTAAACAGGCATTTCCTCAATTAGGCATCTGTGGGGTCCATGGCAGCGGGTGCTATGAAGGATGTAGATGAAGCAGGAACTAAAATCCACAGTGGAGAGCTTGTGCATGAATCAGAAGGAAGATTAATCAGGAAGGAGAGTCATGACCGAAAATACAAAGCAGCCAGCAAGCACACAGGCACCACCAGGCAAAAACCCTGAGGAAGTCGGCCCGCAGGAAGTTAACCATAGTCACCAGCAAACCAGTGGATGAGGGCCCTAAGCCCTGAGTTTTTCCTCCTCCACTGCCACTTAGCTCTTCACCATTGAAGCTTCCTTGGCCACAACTGCCTTATCCCAAAAATGGCAGGTATTCCTGTTCTGCCTAATCTGTAAACCTGTTCTGAGGAATAAATGATATAATTTGAGCGAAAGCTCATTGTAAGTGGTTCTTATTAGGAGCAAAGCACAGCAATTGGCCTGCCTAACCTGTTACAGACACTGCAAACAATACAAAAAAAACAAAACAAAAAAAAAAACAGAGTCCAGGTCCTCTGAAAGAAGTGTTTGGCTTTGTTGAAAACCCAAGATGCATACATGTGAAATCAATATGAACATCACAAGACTATGCAGTTAAAAAAAAAAAGACAAAACAAAAACAACAACAACAACAACAAAAAAGACTATGTGGTTGAGGATAATAAAGGCCAACAGGTATTGCTTGGAGTGGTGTTCTCGAAAAATTAGATCTAATTCTGTCATTTTAGGTTGAAGACCAACATATCTCAAAGGAATGAGGTCCCCCTTTCATGAGGCTATGCCAGTGAGTAATGGGAGATCAGGCAAAGCAGCGGATTAGGTCTAATAAATAAACACTAAAAGTTTTTATTTGAGTAGGTGGCACACAATGTTACACTAGTTTCAGGTGCACAACATAGTGATTTGACAAGCTTAAACAGTATGCTATTGAGAATCTTTAAACTTAAGCAAATACGGGTTTAGTCTTGGTAGTGCCTGGTAGCTCTGCAGCCTTGGACATGTCTCTTAACCTCTCCGAGCCTCATCTGCAAATTAGGGGTGATAATATTTCTTACTTGTATGGATTAGATTAGATGATATCTGTAAAGTGGGAGGCACATTGTAGTTGTTCAGCAATGAAAGATGACTGTGAGATAATAGATGCCCTTGAAAACCAGCCCAAGGCATTTGGATTTCCTTTGAAAGGCAATAGGAGGTCATTGTAGATCCTTAAGAAAGGAGGTGTGAGTTAGCGATGTGTTGAAAATGGTACTTTAGACTGATGTTTTCGGCTGTGGAGTGCAGGAAAAAAATGACGCTAAAGCACATCAGACAACGAGCCCATACTAAATTTATGAAATTCTCCCCTTCACTGTTAATGCTCCCATCAGGAAATTTTAGTGCAACTCTCCCCATGTGCAGCTGCGCTTTTGGCCATAGGCAGTTGTCTGTGTTCTCTGACATAAGACACGTGGGCTGTGGAAGGCTCAGGATGGCGGGGGTGAGGGTGAGGTAGACGTAGTGTTAAACATGGTGGCAGGACCAGTGTGAGTTCATGCTCAGCCATAAATGTTTTTACCTTCTCCCAAAATGTGTCCCCTTTCTGCCAGAGGCCCCTTCAGCATCCATTAGTATTGACCGTGTCCCATGACACTAGGGAAGCTGAGGCACACAAGTCACTGACTTGCCAGTGGTCACATAGTGAGGGAAATACGGGGCAAGGAGGAGACACTGTCAGAAGCCATAAATTGTTTGCCACCACATGAGCTTTCAGCCACACTCAGCTAAACCCAGGGAACGCGAGGGCTTCCCATTGGCCACAAAGCTGTTCTGTGTCCTGCTGTCCTGCTTTCTGTCTTGCATGCCTCTCCCACAGTATGTACGAGGTGTGCTCTTAGGGTTCCTGTGTCCCCTTTCTCTGGAGAAGCCAAAATAAGGTGCGGTCAGAATTTATGCAGAACAACCCAGAGATGCAAAATGATAACTTTTTGTTCTTTTGCATCTTGCTGTAGAGCCCTGGTCCTTTTGGTACATGAAAACCAACAAAGCAAAAAGTCAAGTCGAAGGCCAGACTCCTCATTGAGGCCATGAGGGTTTCACCTCCCACACCTGTGTCCCAGGGCGAAGCCTCTCCATCCTCACTGCCCTGGGAGAGGGGCCCCAGATTCTCATGCTGGTCCCTACTGAAATATCACTTGTCCTTCCCAGTATCTGGAAACCTTGTGCTAGTGTTCCCCAAAGTGCAGTTAGTCTCATCTATTTTGGGGGAACCAGCAGGATGTGTATGGTCCCTGCCACAGCTCCAGTGCCTGGTGCCCACACTCTGTGTCCTCTCATCTTGGCCCCAGGCTCCTCTGGCCCATCGAAGGCATTCCATGTCCTAAGCTATGTCCCAGACTCCCCCAGCCCCAGCCGGGGACAAGACTGCCTGCCCCACTCCCCTCAGATCCTTGCAGCATGTGCTTATGCCCCAAGTTCCGCTCTCAATCTGGACCTCTCTGTTGAAAGACAAATTTTGACTCATAAAAGCAAGCTTTTAGAAATTATTATGTTAAAATTTTTTTTAAAAAAAGTTTTTCGCCTGCAAGGAAGCCTGACTTGCTCTGGACTTTAGCCAATCAAATTTGAAATGCAAAATTAAGCAATGTCTTCTTTTAGTCTGGGCTAGAAACTGGTCTCCTGAAACAATGGATGCCACAAATTCAGAGCATGGGAGGCCACAGGGAAGGAAAAATACATCACCTTAAATAGTGAAAATATTTTCCCATTTCACTTTTCACAAATTCAAAACACTCTGGCTAAAGCTTTACACTTACCAATACACCTATTTTCTATTAATAATCATAGATACTGGATATTGGACTTTTATTAGAAATCAACAGCATTGGGCGCCTGGGTGGCTCAGTCAGTTGAGCGTCCGACTTCGGCTCAGGTCGTGATCTCACGGTCTGTGAGTTCGAGCCCCGCGTCGGGCTCTGTGCTAACAGCTCAGAACCTGGAGCCTGCTTCGGATTCTGTGTCTCCCTCTCTCTCTGACCCTCCCCCGTTCATGCTCTGTCTCTCTGTCTCAAAAACTAAATAAATATTTAAAAAAATAATAATAATAATAAAAAAGAAATCAACAGCATTTATTCCCTTTTTATAAGCCATAACCTTTTCATGAGCCATAGATACCTAGAGACTTGAATGAAAACTGTAGACCTCTCTCAGAAAAATGTATCCACACAGCATTTCGCATTCTGTTTCAGGGCATTCATTGACTCCCTGGAACCAATCCATGTGGCAAAGTTTAAAATCTATAATGTCTGTGATTTGCTCTAAGTTAGCAAAACTGTGCAGAAGTTTCCACCGTCACTTCCGTGTCTGAAACACTTCCAGCAAAGTGGGACAGAAGCAAGCTGAAGATGGACTAACCAAGTCCAGCTGCCAAAGCATATGGGGCACACAGAGTTCCCTTTGAATCAGGAGCTCTCTACCACTAAACAAGCCATCTCCCCAAAGTTATAGCTTCTACTGTTAAATGACTGTGCCCTACTTGCCTTCACCACGTAAATCATATGTTAATTGCTTGGGATTATAGGTTCCACTTAGCCCCCTCTTTTTTTTTTAATTTTTTAAAATGTTTATTTATTTTTGAGAGTGAGAGAAATAGAGCATGAATGGGGGAGGGGTAGAAAAGGAGGGAGGCACAAAATCTGAATCAGGCTCCAGGCTCTGAGCTGTCAGCACAGAGCCTGATGTGGGCTCAGATCCACAAACCGTGAGATCATTACCTGAGCTGAAGTCGGACGCTTAACCGACTGAGCAATCCAGGCACCCCTAGCCCCCTTTTTTAATTTCCTCTAAATTTTTTAGTCTTAACAAAAAGAGTGCTTTAATACTCAGGGCCCCCAAACTAATTCCCCAGTTAACTTTCCTTGAAATCTCAAGTCTAGGTATGTGTGTATAATTATAAGAAATATACATTGTGTAACACTCAAAAGTGCTGGAAAAGGGTTCTCATTAAGCACGGGGCTCTCTCCTTATTTTTTCCAAATACTCTTCATACTACTTCACTGACATATTCAGTGGGACAGAAAAGGGCCCCCATCCCCCCATCCTGTGTGCTGATGCAGCTTCACTACACACACCAACTGCTTCCGTTTTCCTTCTGCTCACAGCCCGTTGTTTTTCTGCGCACACACCTAGGGGGTAAGTGAAGATTAAAAACAGCCAAGCCCGTTTAAGTAAGTCTAATAAAAGATGTTCTGTTTGTTGCCGGTTTTCTGCTTTTAGGCCGAACCAGCGTCCTCTAACAAGTGGCAGCTGGATAAATGGCTGAACAAAGTTAATCCCCACAAGCCGCCTATCCTGATCCAAAATGAAAGCCACGGGCCAGAGAGCAATCAATACTACACCCCGGCCAAAGACGAAGTGCAGGACTGTGGGAAACTTCCCGACGGTTGCCAAACCAGCCTGAGAGAGAAGGACCTCAAGAGCACCTGCAAGGAGGAGCAGAGGCCAAGGACAGCGAACAAGGCCCCGGGGAGCAAAGGAGTGAAGCAGAAGTCTCCACCTGCGGCCGTGGCCGTGGCTGTGACCACAGCTGCCCAGCCGCCCGCTGTACCCGGCACACCCGCCGAGAGCGCACCCGCGCCTGCGCGGAGGTCTGCGGGCAAGAAGCCCACCAGGCGCACGGAGAGGACCTCTGCCGGCGACGGTGCCAACTGCCACCGGCCCGAGGAGCCAGCAGCCGCCGACTCGCTGGGGGCAAGCGTGGTGATTCCCCCGGAGCCCACCAAAACCAGGCCCTGCGGCAACAGCAGAACGAGCCACCGCAAGGAGCTGCGCTCCTCCGTGACGTGCGAGAAGCGCCGCACGCGGGGGCTGAGCCGCATCGTCCCCAAATCCAAGGAGTTCATAGAGACAGAGTCGTCATCTTCGTCCTCCTCCTCGGACTCAGACCTGGAATCGGAGCAGGAGGAATACCCTCTGTCCAAAGCGCAGGCCGTGGCCACCGCAGCCGCCGCCTCGGGGAGTGAGCAGAGACTAAAGGAGGCTGCCAACAGCATCAGCAGCGGTGGGGGCCCCCGGGCCCCCGTAGGCTCCATCAACGCCAGGACCACCAGTGACATTGCCAAGGAGCTGGAGGAGCAGTTCTACACACTGGTCCCTTTCGGCCGGAATGAACTTCTCTCCCCCTTGAAGGACAGTGATGAGGTCAGGTCTCTCTGGGTCAAAATTGACCTGACCCTCCTGTCCAGGATCCCAGAACACCTGCCCCAGGAGCCGGGGGTCTTGAATGCTCCTGCAGCCAAGGACGCTGAGAGTGCACAGCCCAGCCATCCATCTGACACTCCTGCCGAAAAGGCTTTGCCAAAATCCAAGAGGAAACGCAAGGTAGGCCTGGGGCTGCGGGCATGGCAGGCAGGGAGGGCTTTCCCTTGTGTTGTGAGTTGTGGGGAGGTGTTAAAGCCCACATGGGCTGCTGGCCTGCAACGTACAGGCAGCAGTTTTATGTGTGTCCTACTCAACAAACTTTCCTATAGTACTTTGTATATGCCACATACGTACTTGACACAGATTAACTCAGTTACATCCTTAGAACCACTTGATGAGGGAAACACCATTAATATCCCCATTTTATCATTATAATTAAGCCCTGTCCCACTGCATGGTGAAGTGGGCATACAGAAAATCTTTATCAAGCATGTGCAGAGGCAAGCTCGATGCTGGGCCAGTAGAAAAGCTGAACACATGGTGAATCCCACCCTTTGCTGGAAGTGATAGAGTGGCATTGATCAATCTTGGACTATGAAGCCAAATAGCTTCATAGAATTTAACGCTGTGACTGGGGTGAAACATGAAACAGAAGTGCCAGACACCAGGCTGTGGGTGGATGTGCCCAGTGAGAGGAACATTAGTTTCAGAACCAGCAGCGGCTGCTCCCAGTAGCCTTGACCAAGGAGAACTCTGGGGGGGAAACGGCCTGGGAACAGGTCCCTGAAGAGGAGGAACACTGAGTAATCAGAGAGGATGACGTGGCACCAAAAAAGGGAAACAGGACGAACAAGGAAGGCATGGAGTAAGAAAGGTGGCTCGAGTGCAGGGAGAGCTGGATACACATCTGGAAGCAGATCCAGATATTCAGTAGTGTTTGCAGACTTTTGAGGGCAGGAATAACGTAATCACAAATTAAATTAGGACCAATTTTGAGGAGTTTTATCTCCTCCTGTTACTGTTACCTTCAAAAGTAACTTGAGCCACAGCGAAAAACAACATGGGTAACAAACCAAAGATTGCAATATCATGGATGGTTCCAAATTTAGGACAAAATCACTAACAATAGCTAATGTACATATGTCCCCACAAGAGATGCTATTCTAAGCACTTTGTACATATTAAATTATTTAGTCCTTGCAACTTTATAAACCAAATATTTTTATCATGCCCATTTTATAGGTGAGGAAACTGAAGCTCAGAAAGCCTAAAGCATCTTGCCCTAGGTTCACATAGGTGATAAGGGGAAGAGCTAGGAATGAACCCAGGCTGTCTGGCTCCAGGGTCTTCGAATAAAAAATTAGTCTGAGGTTTGTGTAGTAGTTTCCCCACAGGGCCCCTGCCCGGAAGGGCTCTATACATTTAATTCTTGCAGTTGCCATCTTGAAATTCATTTTATCTCTGAATTTGTGTTGTTAAGTGAAGTGCAATGGAACAGTAGAGCATGACTGGGGGCCCATGGAGCTGTGACTCACATGTGGTCCCCACCTCCTGCCTATTTCCCCAGGACAGGTTCTGCGTGGGGTCCCTTGCAGTCCTTTGGCCCCTTTGCATTCCAAAGTTAGCAAAACTGCATACAGGAAAAGTTTTCATCATCACTCCCATACTGAGATACTTCTGGCAACATGTGAAGCATGTCCAGTCCCCATCTCCTTCCAGGACCTGTGCTGCACCCCAAGTCCCCAGAGGCCAAGGCCAGGTGCAGTGATAGTCAGGGTCAAGATAGGCATCTCACCCAACTCTAATCCAGGGCCTGAATGGTCTCAGGGGAGAACTACAATCTCCTAGTGGTTGCAGGTTCACCTTGGGTTTGGCGTTGGACTGTGGAAAGGGGAAATGCCTAACTGGACATCCCCATCCCTATGTAACTGGCAGGCAGGGGGAAACCTCTACTGTTGGGCCACGCACATGCATACAGTTGTAGGACCGGCCCCAGACACTTCAGTCGGCCTGCACCCCCTCAGATCCCCATGCCTCAAGGAACACAAGATGAAATGATAAATAAACACCACCATGATAGGTCAAGAGAGAGACTTTGACACCCAGGGAAATGTTTTCTACTTTGATACTTTATCACATTACTCTTTTCTTGCTTTTTTTTTCAGTTTTATTTTTGGAGGTATACTTGACATAACATTATATTAGTTTCAGGTGTATAATGCAACAATGCAGTTTTTCTAAATACTGCAAAATGATTATCCCAAGAAGTCCAGTTAATATCCATCACTATGCATAGCTACAATTTTTTTTCATGAAAATGTTCTTGTTAACTATAGCCACTGTGCTGTAGATTATATCTCCCTGACTGATTCATTTTATAACTGGAAATTTTTACATTTTGACCTCCTTCTCCCATTTTCCCACCTCTTACCCTCCACCTCAGGCAACTACCTATCTATTCTCTATATATAAACTCGGGCTGTTTTTAGTTTGGGTTTTTTTTTTTTTTTTTTTTTTTTTTAGATTCTACATTTAAGTGAGATCATATGGTATTTATCTTTTTTTCTGTCTGACTTATCTCACTTAGTAAAATGCCCTCAAGTTCCATCCACATTGTTACAAATGGCAAGATTTCATTTTTTATGACTAAATAATATTCCATTGTACATATAGTTAACATATAGATACACACACACCCACACACACCCCACATCTTCTTTATCCATTCATCAATTGATAGACATTTATGTTGTTTTCATGTCTTGGCTGTTGTGAATAATACTGCAGTGAACATGGGGTTGAATAATATCTTTCTGAGTTAGTATTTTTCCTTTTCTTCAGATAAATACGCAAGGTGGAATTACTGGATCATATGGTAGTTCTAGTTTTAATTTTTTGAGGAAACTCCATACTGTTTTCCACAGTGGCTGTACCAATTTGCATTCCCACCTACAGTACAGGAGGATTCCCTTTTCTCCACATCCTTGCCAACACTTGAGTTTTTTATTTTAGCGATTCTGACAGGTATGAAGTGATCTTACTGTGGTTTTGATTTGCATTTGCCTGATGATTAGTGATATTGAGGATCTTTTCATTTCTTTGTTGGCCATCTGTATGGCTTCTTTGGAAAAATGTCTGTTCAGATTCTCTGCCCATTGTTTAATTGGGTTGCGTTTTAGCAATCAAGTTGTGTAAGTTCTTTATATGTTTTAGATATTAACTCCTTATCAGATATATATTTACAAATATCTTCTCCCATTCTGTAGGTTGCCTTTTTGTTTTGTTGATGGTTTTCTATGCTGTGCAGAAGCTTTGTCACAGTTTGATATAGTCCTACTTGTTTATTTTTGCTTTTGTTGTCTTTTTGATGTAGTCGGCACCAGCCTTCTGGGTAAAAATAATCAGGTGACCTTACCTTCTCGGTACTTCTACTTTCTTCGTTTGTGAAGTAGTGATATCTTTGCAGAAGTGGTAAAGGTTCAGACCATATAATTCAGTGATGTAATCGTCAGATAATTCAGGCCATATAATTCATATAATATGAGTTAGCTCGCTACTTCCCTACCCCTCTTCCCTCCTGTTTCCCTCTAGATACTCCACCCTTCCATTACATGTTGGATTAATGGGTAAATGGATAGACTGATGGAAAGAGAGAGAGAGAGAGAGAGAGAGAGAGAGAAACATAGTTATATAAGAAATGTACACATCTAGATGGGGCGCCTGGGTGGCTCAGTCAGTTAAGCGGCTGACTTCGGCTCGGGTCATGATCTCGCAGTCCGTGAGTTCAAGCCCTGCATCGGTCTCTGTGCTGACAGCTCAGAGCCCGGAGCTTGTTTCAGATTATGTGTCTCCCTCTCTCTGACCCTCCCCCATTCATGCTTTGTCTCTCTCTGTCTCAAACGTAAATAAACGTTAAAAAAAAAAAAAAGAAATGTACACATCTAGAAATTGATAAACATATATTGAAAATACATATAGCTGTATAAGCATACATAGAGATGTGCAGAAAGACATACAAATTCTATAATATTCTATATTTAAGTAATTTTATTACTCATGGCCTTTTTAAAAATTCTTAACTTATGAAATTTCATTTACACTAAGCCTGACACCCATCTCTCCTCATAAAATCTAATGAATCATCATTAAATACAGATACAGAGAAGTGAAAGAACATTTTCATAGCAATCTTCCCTAAGCATTTGGGGTATTAAGACCCCAGTACTGGGACACTACAGACCCAGCTACCAAAGGTGCAGAGTCCAGCCCTGCTGGAACCCTGGAGCAGAAATGAAGATTCAGAGCTTTGGTTTGGGCCTTCCCTGGGTACAGTTTCAGTGTGAGCATCTGGGATCCTGTGACAGAGGCTGTGTGATAATCCCAGCTAGAAAGAGGTCAAAGTCTTTCTATCTTGGAAGCCAGTGCTTGTCTCCTGGAAAACACTGCTGAGAGCCCTAAATATACTGTTAACTCTGTTTCTACTTTCTCACCAGCAGTGGAGCTTTGTTGAGTGCATTTGCCATTGCACCCTAATACACATATAAACACGATTGTGGAAACAAGAATTCAATCAAAATACTATTTTCTAAAAGGGTACATTAAAGGGGCGCCTGGGTGGCGCAGTCGGTTAAGCGTCCGACTTCAGCCAGGTCACGATCTCGCGGTCCAGGAGTTCGAGCCCCGCGTCAGGCTCTGGGCTGATGGCTCAGAGCCTGGAGCCTGTTTCTGATTCTGTGTCTCCCTCTCTCTCTGCCCCTCCCCCATTCATGCTCTGTCTCTCTCTGTCCCAAAAATAAATAAACGTTGAAAAAAAAAATTTTTTAAAGGGTACATTAAGGATTGTAAGATGTCATGGATAGTAATTGTTCACTAGAATTAAGACACCAAGAGGTAACAACCTTTGCTTGAAATTCATAAAAGCCATTATGGCATTAAGCCCAGGACACGGTTGTCATACTTTATTCAGATACCAAGAAATGCCAAAATGAGAGACACTGAAGGTGCAGTGTCAATTCAGAACAGGTCTTTTTTGGGGCACCTGGGTGTCTCAGTCGGTTAAGCATTCGACTTCGGCTCAGGTCATGATCTCACAGTTGGTGGGTTCGAGCCCTGCGTCAGGCTCTGTGTTGACAGCTCAGAGCCTGGAGCCTGCTTTGGATTCTGTGTCTCCCTCTCTCTCTGCTCCTCCCCCACTCATGCTCTGTCTCTCTCTCAAAAATAAACATTAAAAAAAATATTTAAAAAATAAAAATAAAAAAAGAACAGGTCTTTTTTGGAGAGCTGATTCAGATGTGTTGATGGTAGACCAATTTTCATCATTCACATTGTTCCCTCCCTAATGTTGACCATGGTGTCATGCTCTTCCTCTCAATAAACTGTCAACAGTAAAACTGACAGATTTCATCCTTGTTGGTGGAGGAGCTGACTGGGAACCTAGAACAGAGGCAAGAACGTTGCAACCATACTGCTGCTTGGGATACTCTTCCAGAGAAGCCGAGTAAGCTGGCCTCCCGGGAGCCCTCGCTGTGTGGAAGGTTGTGATGGGATCTATTATGATCCCTTGAAATCCAAAGCTGATTGGGTTTTGCTTATTCCCATGCAGTGTGACAACGAAGATGACTACAGGGAGGTCAAGAAGGCCCAGGGAGAGAAAGAGAGCTCTTCACGACTGACTGCCTCTGCCAATAATACTTTATCCACGAACCACTGCAGCATGAACATCAACAGGTATGCATGTTCCACTGGAGTTACAGTGAGCCGGAAGGATCTCTGGGTCTGAAAGTCATGTATCATATTGGAGGAGAGTCTGATTGTTCAATGACTGCTCTGGTCTGGGTCTTTAGACTTGATTCTCCTGATTTAAACTAAGGCTAATAATTATGCCTGAATGTGTGCTCATGTCACAGCCCCAGGTACAGAGTCAGTACTTCTCTGTAACAAAAGACCAGTTACTAGTTAACACTCAGTTCTGTACTCTCAAAGACACACTTTCCCTCTGAAAACTCAGTAACTAAATTTTCAAACCATGATTTTAATAGCCACTAAACCTGTAAGAACAGTAAGCTTATTATACAGAGGGACAAAGAAATATAAACTTGGGTGGAGTCTCTTGGATATAGACTAAAACTGTGGCATTAGACAGGATCTGTGTCTCCAAGGTTAAACGGCACCCAGTCACTCCTCTAAAGGTGTTCCAGATGGACCCACTTTGCACCAAATCCCCTCCATGACAAATGGCTTTCTAGCAAGGCAAGGTCCCTGATATTTATTAGAAGTGAGTAGCTTATCATCAGTCATAGAAGCTCTTTCCATTTAGAAATACCACACTCAGAAACCACTTTTCCTCTGCTAAGACACTCCTCACTCTCCCTGACTGTGTACATGGAATTTTTAAGGGGAGATTAATGTTTCAGCACAACACATAAAAATGTAAACTGAAAGGTTAGGAGAAGATGTAGAGCAGTACTAAAACTCGGAGAGGAAATTGGAGAGTGAGGGCACACGAGCACTGGCCCACTGCAGTGTGAGAGTCACCTTGGGAAGGAAGGCGAGGACTCTTGAAGGTCTGAGCAAGAGGGAGCATGCAGACGCGAGCTGGCCTAGTCCACAGTGCTCTGTGCCCAGCGGGTGGTATCCCAAAATACTGAGAAAATGCAAATGGGGGACGTGTGGTTCCAAAATGTCTTAAATGTGTGATATGGTTCTATACATGCTTCTTTCTTAATGCACTGAAAATCTTTCTAGCAGATCTAATAACTGCCATGATTTCAAAGTAGTGATGAATATAAACAATATTTCAAGTTGTCTGCAACAACTGGAACATGACACAAAAATGTCTGTGATTTCTCCTGATGACACAATCACAGGCATTGCTAATAATACTCCTGCTAAACCACTACTCTGGAAATGTTCAGTTTCAGTGAGAAGTTAATGAAAATGAAGATGTAACTTTTTCCATCCAAGTTCACAAACCCCAGGAACTCTTGCTCTAGAGCCTTTGCCTGGCAGAGCCTGCTGGCTCTGATAGTTTTATTTATGATACATAATGACACTTGCATATAAAAGTGCTTTGAGTTCTTTCTAGGAAAGGTGGTCAATGTACCTCTGGAGTAAGGTGATCACCTATCCCAAAGAGGATATCCAAAGAAAGCTTTTTTGGTCAGCTTTAATATGTAAACTTATAATGATGAAGAAATAATCCTATGTCCGTGACAACACTTAATGTAATAATTTAGTTTTCTATGAGCATTTAAAATCACATAATATGAAAAATAATAGAAATTTATAAACATGACTTTCTTCACTCACATGTCAAGATACAATTATATATAGACTGGTCACATCTATCTTCAGCATCAGTGTCTTTGTCATCATCAACTGAGCCACTTTTGACTTGCCCTAGGGAGTTTTCCAGAACACATCTTCTCACTTCTGCCTTGTTAGATGCATGGTATTTTTTGTACCAGAAAGCTATCACCAGAAATTCTACCCTTACACAGATCTATTTGCATAACACTAAGAACCTCGTTACTTTAACATTAAGAACCTTGGCTTTATTATCTGTTCTAGAGGCCTCTGTTTGTAATTTCTACACTGTGACCACCAACTAAGGAAATTGCTTTTTGAAGTGTCTTTAATGGCTTGTTTGCAGTGATAGCCAACACATGCAATTAAGAAGTAATGACTGCAGGAATAGTGACTAAGTCTTTGTTAAATGGATTTACCTTTTTTTTTTTTAAACTGGCTTTGTCAAGTGACTTCTGTGAGCATCCCAAATTAACAATGTTTGAGTTTATTTCAGGTTATTGTATCTTTCCTCAGTTTTTTGTTTGTTTTTTTTTTCAGGGCAAAGTAATGGAGAGAGCCCTATCAATATAACATACATTGCAAAGATTCAAACACAAGTGACTCCCTTTTCTGATGGTTAATTTGGGGGGGGGGGGGGGTTAAATTCAGACATAAACAATAGTTTCATTTTTTTTTTGTTTTAATTGAATTATAGTTGACATACAGTATTATGTTAGTTTTAGCTATATAACATAGTGATTCAACATTAATGAATGCTCATCATGATAAGTGTGGTCACCATCTGTCACCATACAAAGCTATTAACAGTGTTACTGACTTTTTATCCCCGCAACGCATTTATTTTATAACTGAAAGTCTGTACCTCCTAATCCCCTTCACCTATTTTACCCACACCTCCCTCCTGTCCAACAACCACCAGTTTGTTCTCTGTATTTATGAGTCTGTTTCAGTTTTTTGTTTGTTCATTTGTTTTGTTTTTTTAGATTCTACATGTAAGTGAAATTATATGTATTTGTCTTCCTCTGGCATAAACAATTAGTTCTGAAGATAAAATAAGGAGCTAGGAATCAGAGAATATAATTTTTAATAACAATTTTCTATTCTGTGTTTATTTGAATCAATGCCTGCTTATCCCAGAAGCCTAACAATTGAAAGTTGGCCTCATATGCTTTGCAGATTATTCTGTGATTCTGTTATTCTCCATATAATAATTAGTACAAGCTCAGGTGTTGGCAAAAGTCCTTTTAGAAGTAGACCGCTTGTACATCATTTGATTGCCTTTCCCATTACTTGCTGCTTAGGCTTGTCAGGAAAACAGTAAGTTGTTTGTTGTGTATTTTGAGATCCTTGGATGAAATACTCAGAAAATGAAAATCTTATTATTCTTAGTCATTTAGCACCAGAATTATTATTCATCCTGATAAGACAAGTAAAGAAACAATGAGTAAAATTTACTTATTGTCCATTATGGTGCTAATGCCATAAAATTGTTTCCTGGTATAATAATTCCCAATAAACACCTTCCTACCAGCAGGTTTTAAATGAGAGGTTTGGGTCATATATAAAACATTTACCTTTCCCTGTGCTGACTGTGTGACATTCCATTACTGTGATTTCCTTTTTCAGCTTGGCAATACCAATAAATAAAAATGAAAAAATGCTCCGGTCACCCATCTCGCCCCTGTCTGATGCATCTAAACACAAATACTCCAGCGAGGACTTAACTTCTTCCAGCAGATCAAATGGCAACGGTTTATTCACTTCCGCCTCCTCCAACAAAAAGCATAAGGCTGAGAACCAGCTGCAGTCTCATGCCGGAGACCTCACAGTATGTTCATTCTCTTCCTCTCCCAAGAAAAATAAAAATGAAATTGAGCACACCCCTATACTCATCTGTCTTTAGCCCAGCACAGTCTAAACACATGCTTGAGGTCCCTCAAGAATTCCTAAATGCTGCTCTGGGAAGGCCTGGTGAATGAGCACACCCTTTTACCCCTTCCCACAGAGAACTACAGAAGAAGAAACCAAAGGAGGCATTTGAAGCCTCTTTTGCTTAAGAAACCTCTTTGCAGGATTTCATTTCCCACTCTAAAAAGAAACGGCCCCATAGTAATACTACCCCAGGACAATGTAAATTGGGAGTTTGAAACCAACCAACCTTATTATTTGGAAAGATTCCTTACCCCAGGACAGAGTGAAATCTGGGACTGAAACCCCAGGCCAAAACTGTGGGACTCCCGCTCCACCCTTGGTAACTGGTAAAGTGGCTGCAGTATGGGACCCCTACCCCCACCCCTTTTCCAGTGACCTTCTCATGGGTGATTCCAGCTGCCTGCACTCCCCTGGGGAATGGTGGGGACTTGGGTCCAAGTCTTTCTAACTTCGTATCTTAGTCAAAATGTGATTTGGGGCCAGTTGCATCATCTCTCTGAGCCAGTTTCATTTGCGAAATGGTGGGAGAAAGATTTAAATGAGCCAGTACTATCTGAAGAACCAGACACATACAGATACCTATGCAACTAACACTACATGTTAGTTCCTCTTTCCTGCTACTCCACTTAACAGCTGGTAGCCCTGGATCATGCATCCTCTGGGGCACATTATTTAACTCCAAACTCTTCCCCGAATTCTCTCAGGTCACCATGCTATGAAAACCAGTGGGGCTTTGTGAGACAGGGAGAGAGATGAGACATGAGAATAGGGCTGTTCAAAAAAAGATGGGGGAGGCAGTATTTAATGTTCTATATCATGAATTAAAAAGGTAAAAAAGTTGGTAGTAGGTCTGTCAAGAGCCAAAATCTTGTAACATCAGGAAATTAACCCACTTACACACCCTTATTTGGGAGCAATTATCTTCAATTCTAGCTCAAAGAATCTGAGAAGACCCTACTAGAAAAACCTGGAATAAAAATAAACCATTTCAAATTAAGACACAAACTTATCTGCACCTCTAGATCCTAACATAAAAGCAACCATGTCTAGAGAATTGTAAAATAATTACAGACTTTTACCAAACAGACGTTTATTGAGCAAGTACTTTGTGCCAGGCACTGTGTCAAGCAACGGAGATCCAGTGGTGATCTAATAGATTCAGTCCGTGCCTGTGTGAAGTTCACAGTCTAGCTGTGGAGATTATACACATCTATAATTACTGTCACGAGTGCCACAAGGGAAATGCAGAGTCCTAGGTCCTCTGACAACAAAGACGCTTGCTCTACACGTAAAATCAGTCCATATTTAAAGAAGCATTTGTACACACTCAACACATTTTCATTACTTCCATTCATCCATTCGTGTTGTGGGTATCTGTAGTTTGTTCCAGAAGAATCCACTTGAATTTCATAACCAAAGACAGTTGCTTTATTATCCGTGGGTCTAGCACACAATAGGTGTTCTATAAATATTGGAATCCCTAGGGAATATGATTTTTTTTAATTTTTCCACAAATCTATAGTGTTCCTTTTAAAAATACATTTTAAATAATTTCGAGTTATTCCCTTTGGCTTTTCGTGCTCTTCACAGACAGCTAATGAGAATCAGTCCATTTTGTGACCTGAATGACTTCTCTTTTGCAAGGGTATAGCTCAGCAGTTCTGAAACCTTGGTTCCTGGATTAGCATCACCTGGAACTTGCTAGAAATGAGATGTTCTCAGGCCCCACTCCACACATCTAAATTAGACTCAGGGTCAGAGGAGCAGCTGTCTGTGTGTTGATAGAACCCCCTGATGATTCTGATGCAGAGTCACCTTAGAGAACCACTGGTCTGGCCAACTGGGGAAAGAAGGGGCTTGAGTCCTAAGCCCTAGACCTCACCCATAGTAGTTATTTGAGCTTGAGCAAGTTACTTAACTTCAGCCAGCCACAGTTTCTGGATCTGTGAGAGTGGGCCACTAAGAACTTCCCTTTTGTAAGCTTCATGCCTAGCACAGAACCCAACACGGGGCTTGAACTCACAACCCTGAGATCAAGACCTGAGCTGAAATCAAGAGTCAGAAGTTCAACCAACTGAACCATCCAGGCTCCCCAAGAACTTCCCTTTTGATACTGTTATAAGAATGACATTTGAAGGATGCCTGGGTGGCTCAGTCAGTTAAGCATCCGACTTTGGCTCAGGTCATGATCTTACAGTTCCTGAATTCAGGCCCTGCGTCCGGCTCTGCACTGACAGTTCAGAGCCTGGAGCCTGCTTCAGATTCTGTATCTCTGTCTCTCTGCCCCTCCCCTCCCCTCAAAAATAAATAAATGTTAAAAATTTAAAAAAAAAAAAAAGAGTGACATTTGACAACACACATGAAAGCCCTCAGCATGAGAACTGGAATGCATGTATTTCTTCTTCTGTATTTAAACAAAGGGATCATCAGTTCTAACAGAGAACACAAAACAGTGGGTTGTTCTTTCAGCCAGGTGGCCAGTTTCTGAAAAGACTGGTGTGTTGTTTTTTGTTTAGAAAGCCGCTCACAACAATTCCGAAAACGTTCTCCACAAGTCACGGCCACAAACAGAGCCATGGTCTCCAGGTTCCAACGGCCACAGGGACTGCAAGAGGCAGAAACTTATCTTCGATGATATGTGAGTGTGGACTCTGTCGATGTAGTGAGGGGCAAAGTTAAAATAGAAACTCTGCGGGTAGAAGGGTTATATTCATGACTTGGTCAGGGAAATGTTGCCCTCTCAAAGAGAACTGGAGCTTACCTTTGAATGCACCCCTGAGTCCCGGGGAGATTGTTGAACAGCTAGAACAGCCAGAGCTCCTGGGGTTGCCTCCAAGATGTCAGGAAGCTAAGGCAAATGGCAGTCATGGGTCTTACATCTCTAAGCAACTTCATTTTGGGTTGTTGGCAGTTGTATGCTACCAGAAAGAGAAGCATTTTTGTTTTTGTAAATTAGAACGGGCAAAGAATAATAGTGGTTCACTCCTGGCTTGTTTCCTCTAAAATGCTACATTCTTTATAATAGCATAAACAGTTCACACAGGAAAAAAATATCCTGTCATCCTTCCCCCAGCCCTAGTGCTGAAACCCAAGTATTACTTCCACTCCCAGCATCAATTCATAAAAGGAGGAGAAACAAGAGAAGATGAATAAAAAGTAACATCCTGGAATGTTCTTCAGATGCTGAAAATGACAAAGGAGAAGTGATAAAGTGATACTGAAAACTATTTAGGCTCTTGGGGGGAAAAATATGTGTCAAGGACAAGCCTGGAAGACAGAAGATATGGTTTCAAGAGTTTGGCTTGAATCCTGTTTTCAACGTTAACTGTTCAACAAGCACCCAGTGCAGGTCTGTGTGAGGCACTCCATCAAATCCTGGGGGTGGGGACAGCATGCAGCACTGAGACATCCTGTCCTCTAACTGCTTACAGTCTGGCTGAGGAGACAAACTACAAACCCCTCACCCCACCTAAAACTGGAAAAGTTAGGGGTGCCAAATGTCTTCGAGTCTCAGCTTCTTTATTAGGAAAAACAACAGTCATGATACCTCTCTCCCGAAAGAAAGTTCTCCCAAGACCCAGTTAGATGAGATCACCCAAGGGGGACCATCCTTGCAGAAGTGATGACTATTGCATCCTCATCTTCCATCCATCCTCTCCTCCAGCCCTGGCTTCACCCAGAGTAAAGACAAGTTCTACTTATTCAACCCTACAGACTTCTCTGCGAAATGAGAATGTGCCGTTAGAGTCCTCAAATTATTCTTGGACTTCCGTGAGCTAATTAAGGGCACAGAATTGGGAAGTTAAAAGCCAAATCCACATTTTTTGTTTGTTCCACTTACTGAACACATTCCAAGATAATTGGATTTATGAAAGTTTAAGAGTAGCCCAGGAGGACAGGTGTTTTTCTCTCCTTCCCATGGCTGCTGCAGCAGCATTTGGCCCCAGGCATGCTCTCCTGGCCCTAACCACCTCCCCTTCTCCTTGTCTTCTCCACTGCCCTAATCAAAGAGGGTGGCCATTCATCTCCGAGGTAGGGACATGTAGTGGGAGGACAGTCCCTTGGTCAACTGCATATATAATTAGTGTTTGGTAGTCTTACTTGTTCACGTGAACTCTAACCATTTGTAAAAATGGGAGATTAAAATTGTGTCTGATGACAACGTGGCAGTTTGCACTCAGAAGTCATAATCTAACAACATGATCAAACACAACGTGCGTTAGACACTAAGGTGCTTAAAACATCCAACATTTCCAACAGCTGATGTTAAGGGGCATGGTATATAAAGACACGTAATACCATTATTACGTGTGTTAATACAAACATAATAAACATACATATAGAAAATTTAAATATAAGGAATTATCCAATGTATGGACCAAAAAGCTAAGTCAAAAATAGCAACAACTAAATGGCCGTACTTCGATCTGCAGTTTCTTGGACTGTTTACAAGAGGAAATGTTTCTCAATCTGCCGGCACTATTGCTAATATAATTTTTTCACGATCTGTGTCAACAAAGAAGCTGTTATCATTCGTTCCTCCCATTAGCAATATGTATAATTTTTCTGGCTGACAGCTACAATAAAACTGTTTCTCTTTTATGGATATAGATATAATAGAATAAAAAGGCACTTGTATGTATCCGTCATACGGAGAGATAGATGTCATGTTCCAATTGCCATGTGTCCCAGTTGATTTGAGATCCGTAACAGTAAAATAAACATGCAACTCAAACAGCCACTCAACCACTGAACTAAGAAAGTCTCCGGAAGACCCTTGAAGCTTGAAAAACAAAACTAGGCATTGTCTTTTCCTTGAAACAATACAGATCACTGTCCCTTAAGAAATCGCTGCGCTAGGAAGTCACCTAAACTTGTATAAAATGTCTCCCAGGTCCAGTTGGTATGTGCTGAGCACTTACTAAGTGCCAGGTACATTGGTAGAAGCTAAGATATGCAATTCATGAATCCTCAGTTATTAATTCAGGGGAGAGGGAGGCACATGGGTGGCTCCCCTGGGAAGGTGCCTTGGGACCACAAAACTTCAGCCTCCTGCTCCTCTCTGTTCTTCCCCCACCAGCTTCCCCACCAGCAGGGTTGCTAACAGACGAGGACCTGGCTCCTGTCACTTTCCTTGACTTTTCCCCACTGAAGGTGTCAACAAGCAGTGAAACAACCAGAGAGGCTACCAGTAGAAAAAAAAGAAAGACCTGGAGAAATAGCTCAGGAGCAATTTAGAGTTGATGGAAATCCAGTTATAGTGATCCAAAAAGGAACAGATGCCATACTGTCATTTACTTTTTAAAGCTGCATCATGTAGCTTTTAGAAAAAAAAAAGTAAACTCATCCTTTTGTATTATAAATACTCGTTAATGGTTGAATAAACATGCAATGCAGACAACAGCTGAATTCAGTGGGCGCTTAATAACAAGTGTTGAATGAACACAGCTGAATTAGAATAACAGCGCTAGGAGAGTAATGCCTGCAGTTTTTTCACCATGAATATAAGGAATCTACATGCAGGTAAATTGAAATTCATGGGTTCCTAAGCCCCTTTTCCTATGTTACTTACCAATTAACTAGGCACCAGTTTGTGTCTTCAGGATGCAGATGGAACTGAACAAAATAACACTTATTTTTTAAATGTGATCCAGGTCAGCTGGTTCTGCGTAATTTGCAGGCTCAGACTGGTGGCAATGTGATGGCACCTCCTCCCTGACATTTAGCCACACTCGACATCCACTACTTGACAGCCCCGGTTTTAAGGTGACACCGGTGTGATTGCCAAACTTTTGTTTAAAAAAAAAAAAAAATCTGTAAGAATTTATGTCAATGAGTGACAGCACTAGATTCAACTCAAAGCCCAGAAACTGATCTTATTAGTGTGAAGCCACGAGCTGTAAATTACTTTGTGTCATAATTAGTGACAGGGGAGTTCTTGGCCCTGGAAAATCGAGAGAGAACAACTGTGTCATGAAGGCCTCGGTACAGAAGTCCTGAGCAAAGCTAAGTGGTGAAACGCTTGGCTGGGAAATCAAGTCTCCTTTCCCACCAGCCATATTGCTGTGTTGGGAAGCCAGAGAATCCCTAGTGCCAGAACTGCCTGCTGCTCCCAGAAGGATGTACTGTCTCCTGCCCATATTTCACAAGGAAGAGTCAGTCACGATCATCACATTCAGCAAAACCACCAAACATTCCATCTGTCCCCGTGGCACCAGTAACTGGAGCCCAGCTACTTAACTCTCCCAACATTGAGAAGAGACTCCCTCAGCCACGCGTGCTGAAGGCCATGGCGTGTGAAATGTGACTGGCAGGGAAGGGAAAAGGATTTGGCATTTGTGATGTAATTATGCTCAGCAATCTCCTAGCTAACAGGATTAAATTTTATAGAGGATGGGAAGAGTCTAGTATGTAAAAGGTCAGATCTCTTGTGGCATGATTTAGTCAAAGGACATCAACTGAAATCCTGGAGTAGGTGATGGTACAACGAGGCGAGGCACTCCCACGGGGGGCTTGCTGTGTCCATTGCTCCTTTCCTGAGGGGCTCCCCTTCCCCACCTTTCCCGGTAAGCCAGTAGTACGCCTTCCTGCTCTTCTGTATGGAATTTTCTCCTTTATGAGATCCCTCTCAGCCAAGTTTTTATTTTTTTCTGAACTGAAACCAAGAGTGAAAGAGAAAGAAAAAGACTAGGCTTGGGATGGGGACGTAGAGGCGATAAGATCTTTCAGATCTCCCTGACTAAAATCTTCATTCTCTGATCATTTTAAGGGTTTTGTAAAATTATTTTATTTTAAATGTCACACCCAGAGAAGAACAACAATCAAGCTGATGAGTTTCCATTTCAATAGAAAGTTGCTTTTGATTGAATGACAAAAACCTGCCACATTTAGTCTGTGCATCTTGGAAAATGCACACTGTTTTCTGTGTGTGGCCGAGAGAGAACACAGTCGTGTGCAAGAGCCTGTGGTGTGTACAAGACACGATGCATGATCACCTGTGCTTCTGACAAGCCAGGTTCTAGAGACTCTGGGGTCCCAGCCAGCATCAAGTTCATGGAAACAAAAACTGCATTTGAATCTTTGCTGCTTAAATTCAGTCTACCTGCTTCCTTCAAGAAGCACTCATAAAGCCAACACTGGCACACCAGAGACGCTGACCCTCAAGTGCCCTCATCAGTAGTGTTCACTTTAGTAGATTAAAAAGAATTACAGGCTCCCCTGCTCTCTAAAGTAGAGCATTCCTCCGAAACCATTTGTAAGTCAGAATGGTGTAAAGCAAAGAGTATCCCCAGTTTTCTGAGAGTTCGCTTGGCATTACTTCACTTAAAGAAAGACCTACATTAGTACAGTTAAGGCTTTTTTCAGAAAAGTGAAAACCCTCTTCAGGTTAGTGAAAAACATTTCTAATCTAGGTCTTTCGTAAAAGTGAACTTTCAGAAAGCAGGGGGATGCCTGTACTTAACTTCTTACATGTCCTTCTTTGTGAAGAAAGTACTTCAAAGCTGAGGACACAGTAATGCCCATGGGGCTTATCAGATGACAAGCTGACAGGGTATCGGATGATGAATTCATTTGGTATGCAGTTGCCTATTTGTCTCATTTGGACTTCATCTTCCCTAAGGAAATTATCCAGATTTCTGCTGTGCCAAGGAACCTGTTTGTTCAAACACATTGAGCTCCCATCCCTGCCAGTTTTCACAAAACAGGAGGCTCTGCTGTGGGGGGTGGGGGGGTGCATTTCACAGAGGTAGGAATTACAGAAAGAAGGCTGCCAGCCTCTCCATGGGAGACCATTCAACTCCATCTCAGCCACAGAACAGAACAAAAAGCAAGGTTGCTTTAATACTCCTCTGCCAGAAGAAATATCAGGGTAGCTCAAATCCTGTTGCTGCCTCAGAACTGAGGTTGCGTGTTTATAGGGGCGATAGTGGGAGGGTGAGGAAAAGAAAAAAAAAACATTCTATTTGGATCAAGTGTTCAGATTGTTTTTGTTGCAAAGAGCTCTTACAACAAAGATACACATGGCCAAGGCTTGGCTTTGAAAAAGATCACTTGCAAGCCCCATTTCTGAAGAGCCCAAGATACATAGTTAGTTACACGTATGATGTTTAATTGAACTTTTATTAGGTTGATTCATGTGTCATCGTAAGATACCATCACTTTGAAAAAACAATATGAAGAATGCTGTTACTAAATGAAAACCGAAAACTCTAGGCTTTTCATGTAAAAAAAAAACAAAAACAAAAACAAAAAAAACACCAAAGATTAGATCACAAATCTGTTGGAACACTGAGATAATTAGATTTTATTGTAGTACCTTGGCCAAGTTGTAGTCTATAACTGCCACAATGGCGACAATTTTACTTTCCTCCTGACTGGGACATTGCTGTCAGAGTGATGCCTTCATCATAGCATGCATCCACCGCCCTGTTGGACAGTCTCCAGTGGTATCCCATTAGCCCCACTGCCTTTATAATGTTCTAATCTAGGAACATGGCACTAGAAATCACCTGAAAGGAGAAAATGAGCCAATCATCCGGCAATCTTCAGTGACTCAGTGTAGTGAGCCCTCCATTATATGCGAGGATGAGAATTGTGACTAATGTGTTTGTAAATGGCCTCTGGACGGTACATTTTTTTCAGCATCTCAGCTTAGTGTCAGCTGCGTGATACAGTCAGAAAATTAGATGTGTTACTTACCCGCGTACACTATTGTGAGAGTTTGTGACCCAGCCTCCATATCAGATTTAAAAATACATTCATATGCTTCAGATCAAAACAATGTTGATTAAGGAGCATATATTAGGAATCAGGAGGCACCACCATCCTTAAGGGCAACTTTGAAGGTTAGTAAAAACTAAGATGCCATAGCTTATTGCCAGAAGAATCCTTTCATGAAAACGAAATGCATTTGAAATGATGATCTGTTGGTGACAAGGTCTACAAAACCGGGCAAGAAAAAATTGACCAAACTCATATACTAGAGTGTGGAGCAGATAATGATGTGGAGAATTTCAAGTTGCCATGGAGACGTTCTCTGGCTCATTGGCTGCGATGCTGCACCCCATCAGAAGCCACCACTCTCCTCTAAGCTCAAAATGAATTCAATGCTATTCAAAGAGGATTCATGTACCTTCTACCATGTGGAAGCCTAAGACTATAGGGTGGGGAAGATCAAAGATGTCCCAGCACAGTCCCTGCTGAAAATGTACCAGCTGCAGAGCTGCCCACATGCAATAACTGTAGCCATACCCCTCCAAAGGTAATTAAATGCCTAGACATGTAGTGTAAGTAAGAAGTGGTATCTAGGAAAGACCCAGGTGAGCATGGACCAGAGTTACCAAGAAGGTCTTATGGTACAAGAATTTGAGGGAGAGGTAGCATTTGGCTCATAGAAGGCACTCAGTGAATGTGCACTCAGAGAGCAGAATATTCTAAGTGAGAGGAAAAGGATGAGTAGAGAAGCCCTAAGACAGAGATGGCATGTGAGCAACACAGCAAGGAGACCACCCCTCGCCATGGCTGCAGTTGTGGGGTTACCAAGATCAGTGGGGGCCTGAACTGAGACTTGATCCCAGAGGATCTGGAGATTGACTTTAGATCTGGAAGTAGTATGGTGATTTAACGAAAGCCATGTTTTACAAACACTGGTTAAAGGTTAAAGCTCAGGATAGATCACAGGGGAGTGAAACAAGAGGTCAAGAGAGGTGATGCAAGCCTAGGCCTGGGTAGTGGATGTGGTCACTGAGAAAAGGAAGGATGTTTAGGATGCACTCATAACATCTGATAAGAGGGAAGAGAAATCGATAAAGACCCCGGAACTCCTCTCTTGAGTGGATAGGCTCTGGGAACTCATCTGAAGCTCAGGTGTCAGGTCTGGGTCTGAGCTAGAGGTAGGGTCTGCTCTTCTACACTGAGGCATTCCACAAAAGGACAAACAATAATGCAGAGGATTTTTAGGGCAGTGCAACGATTCTCTATGATACTATGATAATGGTGGATAAATGTCATTATACATTTGTTAAAACCCACAGGATATACAAAACCAAGAATGAACCCTAATGTAAACTATGCACTTTGGGTGATAATGACGGGTCAGTGTGGGTGCATTGATTGTAACAAATGTCCCACGACTCTGGTCAGACCTGTTAAGGTAGGTAAGGGAGGCTGATGGGAGAGGGGCAGGAGGTATATGACAACTCTCTAAATTGTCTATACTTTCCATTCAGTTTTGCTGTGAACCTAAAATTGCTCTGAAAAATAAAGTTCATTAAAAAAACAAAGATGGCAACAACAAAATAATGTAAATTACCAGAACTGGAATCCAAGACCAGTATTCAGTGTGCATTCAAAGGTCAGTGTGTGGACAAAGAAGGGAAAGCCACCATGTAAAGGTGAAAACCCATTCAAATGGAAAAAGTGTGAACTTCTAGGAGATGGACTGGAGAAAGTAGAGCCAGTAGGAGAAGCATGGCCTTCCTATGAAGGAAACCTCAGGCCCCACCTGCCACAAAGACCCACCAAGATGAATAGAAGGTTTCAGGCCTGAGTGGCAAGAAGAATGATAGAGGGCTGATGAGCCAAAGACAGGGAACTTAATTGTCCACATTAAGGGAATTCTGCAGCTCTGTTCCTCATTTCTTTGTTGGAAATGTTAAATATTCCCAGCACATTATCACAAGAATGACAATATTTTACAGGGGAATAAAAGACCAAACGAAAGTCCTTTTTGGCCTCTATGATTTGTACTTGAGACTAATTATTATAAAAAATAATAATAATTATTATTATTATTCATTATGATAATGGTTTGATTGATTAAAACCATTAAAATGAAGGTAAAACTTTGGGATTGCAATGTCATTGTCACGGTATGCATGGTTTTTCTAAGCATTTTGACCTCTTTGGATAAAAGGATGCTTTAACCACCTAATAATGCGGTAAGGAAAAAGACCCATTAGAATCTCAAAGAAGAGGGTTCAGATAAGCATATGACAATAGATGAGTCAGTCCATGATTAATATCACTACTTATGTCTTACTCTCATTCAGGGAGTCCTGGCTTATATTGGATATTCATGAGCAAGTCAAATTTATTGATTATATAAAGACCCATAATATAAAAAAGTTTATGCTGATGGCACCTAGAGTATGTAGATTTTTAAAAATCTATCAGACTAAGCATTTAAAGGTACTGTCTGATAAGTAGCTTCATGTAACTTGAGGTCATTACACACACTCAGATCAGTCTCTGTATTAATTACCTTCATCTCCCAGCAGAGTTAGTGCTGGCCAGGGTTATTGCTTTAATAATGCACATGTCTGCTGTTAATGTTTACCAGCTAGCTAATCAGAACTCTAGAGAATACATGCCACGTTTGCATTGTTACAAGGTAGACATCATTTTACAATTAACTTCATTACAACTGGAATATAATCATACAGTATTACCTCTTTTTGTGTTTCACTGTGAGGCCTTAAAATAATTAGATATAGATACATACAACTGTAGGTGCCATTTATGCACATAAATGACAACTTACCTTCATAAGAATACATAAATATACTCACCCAAACATATCTGTGCAAGTATTATGAGGTGTATTTATGATCTTTAAATTAAAAAGGGATTGTTTTATACAAATATCATGTAAAATAAGATTTTTTACTTGTTTTCTTAACCATGCAATAAGAAATCTGATTCACAAATTAGACACTGGGGAACCATGTTAAAACCACTGTAAATGTAGACTGTCTGCACATATTGAATGTGTTTTGAATAGTTAATTTAAGAGAAAAATAATTGTGATATTTTACATACAGGAAGTAATTTGGGAATGCAAAAATGCTTGATTCCATATTAAACAGACTTTTAAAATTGTGATTCAAGTTTGAGCAAAAAGAGAAGAATGTTTTCCAAAGATCTTGCACTTACACAATAATGACATTTAATATTCTTTCCTGTAGGCCACGCAGTGCAGATTATTTTATGCAGGAAGCTAAACGGATGAAGCATAAAGCAGATGCAATGGTAAGACCCTTTTCTTTCCAGATATGTTCTTCCAAATTATGTTTGTACTGCAGCTTCATCACTGGGGCAATATAGCTGGGGTAATTATAAAATCTATTACAAGGATGGCTGGGTCTGTTAAATGGAGAAATGTTTATATAATCAAGTGCTCATAGCCCAATAAATTATGACTTCAACCAATAATGTCTGACTGGGAGAAAGTCCCGGATAAATGAATATTTCAATTTAGTTCTAAGGTTTGAATAGTAACTAGAGGCAATGGAGTCAGTGGGTGGTAGTATTTTTTTTCCTTTAAGAAAAAAAAAATCTGGGTTTGCATTTTTCTCTCTTGTTAGCCTGGCCAGCCCTTGGCTTGGTCCCAGGATCAAATCCCTTTTCAAGAGGACTCATGTTCTGCCTGTGTATCTGCCAAAATTAATACTTCCTCTGAAACTGTACAACACAGAAACCATTATACTGCACATAAGACCCTAAAGTCACCATGATTTGATGTCTTCCAAAAAAATAACTTTTCTTACTTGGATAATCTCCTGTTTTGGAAAGTGTGAACCTTCCAGGCAAGAAATAGAAAACCTCTGGGTTTTTCTGAAAGAGATCACATGGTTGGTCCATCTTAGGTCTCATCCAAAGAGACTCCTTCCTACCCAGTAGTTCCAGTTCTGTTCCCCTCCAGCATTCCCAACAGATTAGGGTGCTGGCGATGAATAAGACATTTCAGATGACCTTCAAGGTAGTATTCCAGTGCTGAAGGTGCTTACATCATAAATGTACCCCTCCCCAGTGTCGCTGATGTTGCCAAACATTTATTTGTCGGAAGATCACTGTCTAGGTACACCGATGTGCAAGGAAAATAGGCAGAGTTATCAGAAAGTAGACAAGAGAAGTGGGAAGTACAGTTCTTGTCCTCACAACCCCACGGTCTAGTGGAGAGTTCTGGTCACCTGAAGAAGCTGATGCATGATCGCCATTGGAGAAAAGCACAGAATTTTAAAGCGGAATGAAATTTTCTGCCTGAATCATGCAGTGTTTACCAGCAGTGTTTGTTCCATGTCGTGTTATCCCACCTGACCTTTCCTTTCAACATTCTGCTCCAAGCCACACTGGTGCCATCCCAGCCTCTGAGCACACCTCACTCATGCCAGCCACCGGGCCTTTTCAGCAGCAGAGCCTCACATGCGCGCGCGCACACACACACACACACACACACACACACACACACTCACTCACACATACTCACACCTCCACTTCCTCCACAAATCCAGCCAAATCATACTATTCCTTCCTATGGCCATTTTCAGGTCTCTTCCCTGAGCCTCCCCAGCCTTTCTGCAGCCCCATGACTTGCTCCCTTCCTATCATCTCTTTGCATTGTACTCTCTGCTTTGCATTTTGTTAGTTAATCACAGACTGCCTTGCACTTTGAACTATCTTGTGGGTGCATGTTTTCTCTCTCCAGATGTATTCTGTGTTCCTGAAAGAAGCTTTTGTGTATCAAGTACACACTGCACAGAATCGAGTGCTGTAGAAAACACTTGTTGAATGAAATGACTTCCTTAATTTGAAAGCATTGCCAAGAAATATTTCTCTATAGCCTATTAGGATTATAAGCTATTTAAAAACTTGATTTGCCAAAGAGGGAGTGTTGCTCTACATTGCTGTTTTCTAAGGTATCCATTACTAATGAGAATTGGTTTCAGAGGCAAGGCTTAGATTAGTAATTTGTGTAGTTCTGTTCTGATTGATGAATAAATATGTGAACGCTTGGAAGAGTATGCAATCCAAACTTAGAATATGTAATTATCACCGAAAGTGATACATGTATATGGAATATACACAATACATGTATATGGAACCAGGAACTTGATGTGTAAGTTCAGATTTATGAGAACCTGATAATATGAAGCTGATTCTTGGTTATCCTCACTGATGTGGAGAGAAACTAAATAAATTTAGACAACTTGAGGTAATCATCCCAAATAATTTTTTATTTGGCATAGCATAGAGGGACAAGGAGTGAGGTTGCCAAGCAATTAGGGGTTAGAAAGAAGGAAACAGAAATTAGAACAACCATGCAGTTCTGAGCAATTCTGATTGGCAGCTGTTGTATGGATCTGGTACAATTCTGTATATAACCGTTCACCCACTTACCCTAAACCAGTAGCAATTTGCAAAAGTAAATAGAGAAGGAAGCATCCTATTTCTTTCTTCTCTCGGCTCCATTCACAGGATTTTGGAACTCAGAAGTCAGGTTTCTCAAATAAAGCATATTGACTATGTGACAATGCCATTTTAAAAACTATACTTAAGGAAGACACTGTATTAATTCTGTTGTTCAGGTGGAAAAGTTTGGAAAGGCTTTGAATTATGCTGAAGCAGCTTTGTCATTTATTGAGTGTGGAAATGCAATGGAACAAGGCCCAATGGAATCCAAATCTCCCTATACAATGTATTCGGAAACAGTAGAGCTCATCAGGTAAGCACCACGTCTTGCTGGGGGAGTGGAAGGGGTGAGGAATGTATGTCAGTACTATGAATACAGAGAAAAGAATTCCAACTGCACTATCAGCTACCAAGAACCAAGGTGCATCCTCACAAAGAACAACATAAGATTTTGCAAGGCTCTTTTACACACCCTGCCTCCCTTGCTCTCTTGTGAGTGAGCAGGAAAGCTCCTATAACCCCTGATTACTTCAGAAAGGAAGCTGAGTCCAAGTGAGATGTGACATGCCTACTTCACCCAGCTGAGAAGTGGCAGATTTTGAACTAATTTCACCTCAGTGCTGCTTTTTTTTTTTTTTTTTTTAACCTGATTCAGGTTAGTATAGTCTAAATCTTAACTCCATCAGTAGATGATTCAGGAGTATTTAACGAGAGGAAAGAAGATTCGGGGTGGGAGGGATTTTAGGAAGGGAAAGCCACCCTGTGATATGCTGTCTCAGAGGGTGCTGATGTTGTTTGGTCTTAAACCTGAATGTGAGCACCATCCCCCACCTGGGTTGAGACATTTAATGTGAGCAGATACAGGGTTTCTGACATGGGCATATCAAGGGTTGGATGGGAGACTCTTGCCTTCCATCATGGAGACCCAGAAAAGCACATCTTCAATGTCTTTTTTAGTGAACCATTAAGGAAATTTCATCCATGAGCCATACTGAGAATCTTGTCATATAGTTTTTGTCTCTATTTAGTCAACTGCTTAGAATAATATCTAATACCTATATGTAAAATTATTCTTCCCCAAAACTAACTTTAAGAGACTTTTCTAATTCTGGAATTCTTTGCAACCTAAGATTAGATATTTTTTAACATGCCCCACCATTCCAGATGAAAGATTTCTAGTCCCCTTGGGTTATAACTTTTTTTATCTGAATTGGCCCGAAGATAAAATTTGGTATTTTATACCATTCTCCTTCAGTAAATAGGTTCCAGCCTTTGAAACTGTCATCCCAGCATCAGAGAATATATCATCTTCAAAAAGCACCTCTTAAGAACATTTTAAAAGTCAATACTGTCCATTTTTCTTATTAAAATATTTCTACTACGTCAGTGTATTGGTGATTCCTTCATACTATTTACATGATATGTATGCTATTTTTGTCAGTGAAAAAAAGAAATCACCATAGTAAAATTACTGTATGAGATCCTAGATCGTCACATTCCTTCCTCAGAATAAGGCACAGACTCAGATACCCACAAGCAGTCAGGGAAGAACATGGTGAAAGTAGATGGGCACAAAATAGTAAGGTGTCCTAGAATGTGAGTGCGTTGAACCAGGGAATTTGGGAGGAGTCTGATTTGTTTACTGATGTATCCCTAATCCTTGGAACAGTTCCTGAATGTAGTATGTGTTCAATAAATACTTGAGGAATAAATAAATAAACCAGTCACAGGGCCTATGGTGAACTCCAGTGTGCACGGCCCCCTTTAAGGCATTCAAATTTTAAAAAACAATCCCAAACAACAATGAAAGCCTGAGGGCAGTCAAATACATCTGGAGGTGCTGATGTGCTACACCTGCCCTGCACCAGAGTTAGGACTCTAGTGTGTTCACTGATATAAGTATCATTGCATGATGGAGAACAAAATCTATTTTCTAGATAATTCAGACTGAGTAGAATCCCTTGAACTAGTCAGAAAACTAAGACAAAAGAAAGTTTTCTTATCTGAGTTAGAAAATAACATTAATTTATTACTTATATCTGCATGTTGCCCACCAGGCTTGAGACTCTTCTCCCCCACTGAGAGCCAGTGGGGGCTGGGAGCCCTGGCAAGGGAGGATCTCACCACAACTGTCCAGCTCAGGCTACATTCTTTGTCCCTATAGACAGAAGAATTCCTTTCTCCCCAAGGGACACCAAGTGACTGGGGACACTGGCAAGTGGACCCCTGCACCACGAATCAAAATGGTGCCACAAAAGCTCTAAAAATTAGATTGTAATTGGAACTACAGCCCAGAAGTAGGCCAGGACCTGCCTGCTAAACCTAAACAGGGTGCCTTCCTTTTAAAATAAAAGATTTAAATAGAACCCTGGGTCTCCTAACATAATAACCAAATGCCCAAGGTTCAATAGAAACTCACTCATCATACCAAGAAACCAGAAAATCACAACTGGAATGAAAAAACACAATCATTTGACACCAATCACCAAGGTAAATCAGATGTTGGAATTATCTGACAGGGATTTTAAAGCAGCCATCATAAAAATACTTCGATCAACAAATGGTGATAAATTCTCTTAAAAGAACAACAACAAAAAAAAAAAATAGAACATCTCAGCAAAGAAGTATAAATTTTCTTTAAAAAGAAAAAAAAAAAAAAGAACCAGGGGCGCCTGGGTGGCTCAGGTAGTTGGGCAACCGACTTCAGCTCAGGTCATGATCTCATGGTTTGTGAGTTCAAGACCCGCGTCAAACTCTGTGCTGACAGCTCAGAGCCTGGAACCTGCTTTGGATTCTGTGTCTCCCTCTCTCTCTGCCCCTCCCCCACTCATGCTCTATCTCTCTCTGTCTCAGAAATAAACATTAAAAAAATAAAAAGAACCAAATGTAAATTATAGAAATGGAAAATAGAAACAAAGATCTCACTGGATGGGCTCAGTAGTAGCATGGAGATATGCTGGTTCGTAACCCTCTCAGGAGATTCCCAGGTATAATCTGAAACCAGGCCCTGTACATGGGGGCCAAGAAGACACTGGGGAAGAGGCAGGCCACTCCAGGTTGGTAGGTGGCAGGTTTAATAAGCAAAGAGAACTTACGTATAAGACTTGTCTTGAGTGGCCATAAAATTAATGGATTCCCATACTTGCCCACCAATTCTTAAAGTTTATATGGAGGCCTTAATGAGTTCACTCAAGTATACTGTGAAGGTGTTCTTAACACCATACGCTGTCTCAAGGTTGTGTCCTTGGAGCAGCCTCTGGGAACAGAAAAGGCAAATAGAACCCACATTTCAAGGACAAGGGAGGAGATGAGGCTCTGATCATCCAGGTCCAGCTCACAGGTCAACTGGCAGTCACATTTTTTTGAAGACCTTCCCCAGCAAGACAACAGAGGATAGAATCAGTGAACTTGAGATAGAAAATAGAATTTACCCAATCTAAGCAACAAAAAGAAATAGACTGAAAAAAATGTATAAAGCCTCAAGCACAATGACAGAAGACCCAACGTGTGTCTCACTGGAGTCTCAGGAGAGGAAGAGAGTGGGATTAAAAGAGTATTTGAAGAAGCAATGGCTGAAATTTGCCAAATTTGGCAAAAGATATAAACCTACAGGTACAAGAAGCTGAGAAAAACCCAAGTAGGATAAACCAAAATAAATGCATGCCAAGACACATCATAACTACGTTTCTGAAAACTAAAGACAAAGGAAAAAAATCCTGAAGACAACCAGAGAGAAATGTAGGGGAGCACCAGTTTGTGTGACCGCAGACTTCTCATCTGAAACCATGGAGGCCAAAAGGGAGTGGCATGACATTTTTCAAGTAGTAAAAGAAAAAAACCCATCGAAATGAATTTTAGATGCAGGGAAACTTCATTATACAGGAATGACGAAATAAAAATATTCTCAGATATGAAAAACTAAAAGTATTTGTTTCTGACCTATAAAGATGGGCTAAAGGAAGTTCCTCAAACTAAAGGAGATGACAAATGAAGGAATATTGGAGTGTCGGGAAGGAAGGAAGAACAGTGGAAGAACAGAAATGTGGATACATGCAATAAACTATCTTCTTCGTGAGTTTTATAAATCATACTCAGTGGCTCAAAAAAACTGTACCACCATCTGATACTCAAGACAATGTTATTTAAAAGTGAGTAAAGGGACATAAATGGAAATAAGGTTTTCATGTTCCACTCAAAGTGGAACATGTTAATACCCATGAATTGTGATAACTCATGTACATTGTAAATACCCAGAACAACCACTAGGAAAACTGCAGAGATCTATTCAGAGGCACTGCAAATCTGCATGTTGTAGACCTAGTATAATAACAGCATCATATCTTGAGCAATTTACAATGACTTTCACAAATACTATCCTTGTAACAAGGCTGTGTAATCAGCAGTATTCATCATATTTTATCAATAAGGAAATTGAGACTTAATGACATTCATTTGAGCTCTCACAACTAATAAGAGGCTGAACCAGGATTTGAACCCAGGACTCTGACCATTTCAGCTATGTGTTCGCTCTCTCAAAGAGTCTGTAAGTAACTTGGTATATTATTGGGAGAGTGAAATGGCCATTTTTCCCCTTGATTAGAGAAATAAATGGGAGTAAGTAAAGTTCAAAAGAGCCACCTTTTTTAGGACACTTACACAGCCATCAAAGTAAGAGTTCCATAACAATGAAAAAGGGGTGAATCCAAGCATTCATCTGAGTACAAGGAGTGAACATTTTTCTGAAGGTTGGTTTGGAAGGATTGAACTTCACTCAATCTTGTCAGCCACTCAGCCATAAGTCAAAATTTTATAAAAATGAATGTGTCACTATATTCATGGATAATATTTGAACTGGCCTCACTCTCAACCACCGGTAGCATTTGAACTTGTATTGTTAAGGGGGAGAAAGTAGCTGGACAATCATTAAAGTCGTTTTGTTCTAGTCATCACAGTAGTGTAATGCTTAGGGAAAATGGGGCAGCATTAGCTAGCTTTTAAGAATTAATAGCAAGTACTATGAAAAACTAAGTTTTGGGGCAAAGGGAACCTCCATCATAGAAGATGTTCTGTTGTTAACAAGAAAGCTTTTTTTTTTTCCTTTGGTTTTTCATTTCTTTTTTTCCCCTAGGTATGCTATGAGACTAAAAACCCATTCAGGCCCTAATGCCACACCAGAAGACAAACAACTGGCTGCATTATGGTAAGTGCATGATATCAACTTAAAATAGCCTCCACAGCCATGTATACCTTCATTGGCAAACCAACTGCTTTAAATGTATACATTTTTCTACTACCTTCTATCATGCAAAAACAAATGCAGTTCTGATGGTGGCTGGGGTGAGCCCACACAATTTCTTGCTGGCCTACCAAGCATGATGTGAATTCACAGTGATTGAGAGTCAACAGGTTCATTACACAAGGATAATTTTTTCTGTGTATTTGTATGTATGTGAGTGCATGCACAACTTTAAAATCAGGTAGGTCTGTGTTTTAATAATTTGAATGTGAGTTGTGCCAAATGTAATTTCTCTTGTGTTTGACACTTTAGACACAATCAAAATAATCCATTTGTTCGTTTACATGTGGGATTATTATGACTAAAACAAGATGGTGCCCTAAAGTTCTCAACACATCAAAGAAACAGCTTATTACACTGTAATAACAGAAGCATTTCTTTTTTTTTTTTTTTCAACGTTTATTTATTTTTGGGACAGAGAGAGACAGAGCATGAACAGGGGAGGGGCAGAGAGAGAGGGAGGCACAGAATCGGAAACAGGCTCCAGGCTCTGAGCCATCAGCCCAGAGCCTGACGCGGGGCTCGAACTCCCGGACCGCGAGATCGTGACCTGGCTGAAGTCGGACGCTTAACCGACTGCGCCACCCAGGCGCCCCCAGAAGCATTTCTTTTAAACTGTTCACCAGCATGTAATAGATTTTTTTTTCTGTATCTGTGGTGATTACAATGGTAATGACTATGTGAATATAATAATAACAATTTTCCCCATTATATCTCCTTGGAACACCTCACCTCATTCTCCCAAATCATAGGCCACCTGTCTTGGTTCCTCCTGTATAGGGATCCAACATTTTTTTGCTCTCCAGTGGTTCATATTCTACTCTAGAACCTGATCTGCAAGTCAGAGAATCAAGTCTCAAAAAAAATAACAGCAACATTCAGAAAAGAGAGGGTCTCAGGTAGTTTTGCACTGTCACACCATCTGCAATTTTTTGTGCTCAGAAGACACTAGTAAGTTGTAGTTGGTACATTGGCATTCTAGCATGTCAGCACCAGAACTGAGTTAGCAAATAATTGAGGGAAAAGCACCAGGGAAAAGCGGAGGGTATGTCTCAGTAAATGCTTTCTTCGTTGTTTTCAAACGTAAAGTTCCATTATTAGGATTAACAAATTAATGATGATTAATACCTAATATTATAGAAGATAGAATACTAACATGTAAATAATAAATGTAAAATAATAAAATAATTATACTCTCAGCCTTGAGATTTTGCTGTTTATAAAGTATTCATATATATTAATTTGAACTACTTAATACAGTCCAGTAAAGTAGTTTAAAAGTGAAGGGAATACAAACAGGTGGAAGAGCTGTTCTTTCAGCAAAGCCGAAGGTACAGAAGTCAGGGCACCAGAGAAATCAAAGTAAGGTGGCTCTGCCCTGAAACTCCCCCAGTGAGTTTCCCAGTGACTGGGAAAGCCCTGTGCTAATGCTCCCTCACTCCTCCCATGGAGAGAGACTGTCCTCTAGTGGTGGAAGAAGAAAATGGCCTGTCCCTTGGCCCCAACAAAGAAGCAATAAAGCTATGATATAGTGGTAGATATGTTTATGGAATAACTCCTTGAAGTTTTGAATTCTATCTTTTGAACTAAAGGAAGGTCAGATACTTTTCAGATGTAAATGTAAGTTTAAAAATATTACATATATATAATCATGATATAAATGCTGAGTGCCTTAGAACAAGAGTTTTGGGTTTTTTTTTAAGTCTTGTTTGAAAGGACATACTCATGCTTTCAGGGCCCATTTCTCTCTTTCTGCTGCAGTTATCGATGCCTGGCTCTCCTGTACTGGCGGATGTTTCGACTCAAAAGGGACCACGCTGTGAAGTACTCAAAAGCACTTATCGACTATTTCAAGGTACTATCTGACTAATGGGCAACATTATTGCTTGTATCCACTGGTCTCTCTGTCATGGACATTTTCGAGGAGCCTGGTAGAATTCATGGCTTTGGGGATAATACAGGAACCCTCTGATATCAACACTAACCCCCTTTATGACATACTCATGGTGTTCAAGGCTCAAAGAATGGCCTTGAGAGTCCATCTAATTTATCTCCCTGCCTTGTGTCCAAGTATTTTTATGGCCTCAAGAGAAAGAATATTAGTGTCCTAGGAAATTCCTCTTTACAGCTAACAAATTTCTCATGTTCCTTTAGAGCTTCTTCCTCTTAGAAGTAACTACTTAGAACTTCCTCATAGCTCTCTCCAGTAGCTAATTTAACTTTTAATCAAGGCATTGTTTTAAATGATAAGAAATGGCTTGTTAGAACTCAGAGGTAGTGGGTAAATATAAGGGTAGAATTGGAAAATATGCTAACTTTTCCCTATCTCAGGAAATGAAATCATTTTCATTGGGAGAATAAAAAAAGAAAACCTTCTCTGATGTACTTGTGAAGTGGACATGAAGTTATTCATTTGAGATTTCTCAGCCCCTTTGCTGTCCATTTGTCTATAGAAACAAGAAATTATAGCATTTCCATCTCCACCAACCCCATGTCAGATACACACCATCATTTTAGATCCTTTAATCCCCAACCTCCACTTCTTAGACATCATCTCAGATGACCAGGCGACGTTGGAGGTTCTGTGGGCTATGACCAGCATGCCATCTCCTTCCTGGTCACGTGTGTAAAGTAACCAGGTGCTAAGGCAAGGAGATAACTGTTTTGACACATTGACCGTTCTGTGTCATAATGACAAGAACAGACACTGAGTCTATTCCTTTACTTCCAGAAAGTCAGAATCTAAGAGCTAATACTGAAGAACATTACTACAGTCAAAAAAAGAAAAGAAAATGCTTGAATAAAAAAGGAATCTGAACTCTGTAAGCTACAGAGATTACAACATAACTTTTAAGGGATATAAGAAGTTCTTAGCCTATGTATGCCATCCATGAATATGTACAGAATGGACAAAGAACACAACTTAAATATCAGAGTTTCCCCTCCAGGGGCTATTGGTGGCTACCCTTAATTAAAGGCCATTTAAATGCCTTTACAGTATTAAGTTCAGAGATTATGAGAGCACCTGGGTGGCTCAGTTGGTTGAACATCAGACTTTGGCTCAGATCATGATCTCATGGTTTGTGGGCTCAAGCCCCGCATCAGGCTTTCTGCTGACAGCCTGCTTCAGATTCTCTGTCTCCCTCTCTCTCTGTCCCTCCCCTGCTCATGCATGTCTTTCAAAAATAAATAAGCATTAAAAAAAAAGATATTTTATTAAAAATAGGCCTACCCTATGACCCAGCAGTAGCACTTCTAGGAATTTACCCAAGGGATACAGGAGTACTGATGCATAGGGGCACTTGTACCCCAATGTTTATAGCAGCACTCTCAACAATAGCCAGATTATGGAAAGAGCCTAAATGTCCATCAACTGATGAATGGATAAAGAAATTGTGGTTTATATACACAATGGAGTACTACGTGGCAATGAGAAAGAATGAAATATGGCCCTTTGTAGCAACGTGGATGGAACTGGAGAGTGTTATGCTAAGTGAAATAAGCCATACAGAGAAAGACAGATACCATATGTGTTCTTTCTTATGTGGATCTTATGTGGAGAAACTTAACAGGAACCCATGGGGAAGGGGAAGGGAAAAAAAAAAAAAAAAGAGGTTAGAGTGGGAGAGAGCCAAAGCATAAGAGACTCTTAAAAACTGAGAACAAACTGAGGGTTGATGGGGGGTGGGAGGGAGGGGAGGGTGGGTGATGGGTATTGAGGAGGGCACCTTTTGGGATGAGCACTGGGTGTTATATGGAAACCAATTTGACAATAAATTTCATATATTTAAAAAAAAAGATATTTTAAGTTCAGAGGTTATGAAACCTTCAGGTGGCAATGATAATTTGTCCATAAGCAAAGTGTTTTATCAATACAGAGCTGCCTCTCAATAAAGGACTTGATTCCCACTCATGCTTTTAGTCACAGGGCTTACTGGTAGTAGAAGAGGCATGAAGGCAATAGTAGAATTTCCACCTGTAAGGCCATTTCTTACCATTCTGGTAACACCTCCGCTAAAAAACTAAAAATCACTCACCACTTCATAAAGTCCTTTTTAACCAAAGAAACACCTTGTCTCTGGGGTACCAGGCTGAGGCTGTTTTCTTCTCTCTGGAAGGCAAAATTCACATCAGTATCATAAAGACCATTTTTTTCCGGGGCGCCTGGGTGGCTCAGTTGGTTGGGCGTCCGACTTCGGCTCAGGTCACGATCTCACGGTCCGTGAGTTCGAGCCCCGCGTCGGGCTCTGGGCTGATGGCTCAGAGCCTGGAGCCTGCTTCTGGTTCTTTGTCTCCCTCTCTCTCTGCCCCTCCCCTGTTCTTGCTCTGTCTCTCTCTGTCTCAAAAATAAATAAACATTAAAGACCATTTTTTTCCTTAATAGTCCCATAGACTTATGTCCAAGAACGCATTATCAGACTCTCAGAGAGGAAATCTGTCTGTACATTTAGCAGCTTTCCTTGCCAAAGTCAAAACTTCTTTTCAATGCCTGATGCAAACAACTGGCTTATGTAACATAACATCCTAAGTCAAAATACTCAGATAAGTCAGTTTTTGAATACTCTGTTACGCACATATATTTTAATTTGTTCTTTAGAAAACTTCAACAGCACTTTCCTTTAAGACAAATACTTCTAAACTTCATAAGTCAAAACAATAGAATCTGATGTCTCATATATTTTCAGGCATTAAATGTATGGCAGTGGTTTCTGTAGATATGCCCTACATTTAAATATAAGGTGTTCCCCGTGGGTGTGGCAGGGGGAAGGTGCGGTCCTGCTCCTTTTTTCCTTTTCAGAAAAATTAAGCTAGTTGAAAAAACTTAGGCTGGTTTAGGATTCAACAGACCCTTAAGATTATGATTTAATTTGGTACACAGAATTTGGTGCATGAAAACCCAGCCTGTGGGTTGAGCTCTTCATTGTAGCCCATGGTGGATGCCTGCAGGCCATGCAGCTGCCCCCCACCAGCTTCCAGAAAAGAAACCAGTAGCCCAGTAATTGTAACTTCCCAGATCCAATTTCTGTGAATCTTTATTTTATCTGCAGCCTCTGCCATTAAGTCTCTCAAAGGTCACCTGAGAACACGTTATCGTCAGCTGTTTAAACTTAAACAGATGGTACTCACTGTCAACGTTTTTCTTTTCCTGCAGAATTCATCTAAAGCTGCCCAAGCCCCATCTCCATGGGGAGCCAGTGGAAAGTAAGTTCATTTCTCCAAAGTAAAGGTGATAAATGAGGCACTGCATGATGCTGGGCCATGTGCTACTTTGCTTACAGCACCCTGGGGGGCTGTTCTACCCCACCTGGTACCAGCCCCCCTACTCTTGTTTTTTTCTACGCTCTCCCCTTCCAGGAGCACTGGAACCCCATCCCCCATGTCTCCCAACCCCTCTCCGACCAGCTCCGTGGGATCTCAGGGGAGCCTCTCCAATGCCAACACCCTGTCCCCTTCCACCATCGTCAGCATCCCACAGCGCATCCACCAGATGGCAGCCAACCACGTCAGCATCACCAACAGCATTCTCCACAGCTATGACTACTGGGAGATGGCGGACAACCTAGCCAAGGAAAACAGAGGTGTGTGAGCCTCTAGGAAGTGTGTGTGTGTGGTTCCAACCACAACCCAGGGAGCCAGCCTGACGCAGGACATCATTGAGCAAGTTTTCGTCATTTACCAGAGGAGACAGTAGAAGCTGTGCACAACTTTTCCTGACCTCCCACCCTCACTCAGGGTCTCTCGTGCCTTAACCTACCTTAATCTTGACTATAGGAGATTAGAGATGGAGGTGGACATAGATATGATACAGATACATAGAAATGGTGTAAATACAGATAGAGATATATACACATATGCTCTTCTTTGAGACTGTGAGCTCCGTGAAGGTAGGGGTAACGTTCTATTCAGCTTAGTGTTCCCAAGACCTGCACGGTGCCTAGAATACAACTAGGGACCTGAAACATTTAACTATTAATTAATGAGGATGAATGTTCCTGGCTGCATAAGTGATAGCTGCTTACCACTGAAAAGAAAGTGTTTTATAGGCAGCAAGTTCTATTTCTCTTTAAGTAAGGTTTGTTTTCACAGATTATAAAACAAATGCATGTCTACTGTGGCTAAATTTGTAAAGTGTGGAAAACTACAGGGAAAAACATTTTTTAATTATCAGTAATCTTATCACCAAGAGATAATTACTGTTAACATTCTACCGAAGTTTCCTCTAGGCTTCTCCAAACATGCACAATTCTTGCCAAAATAAGATTATAGTTCATATACAGTTTTATATCCTGTTTCCATTTAACAATATCGGGCATTTTCCCATGCCACTAACTAGTTCAAAAACATCTTTTATGATGTTCTAGAAGACTGTCATAATAGTGGTTTTACAGTCATAAAGTATCATGATTTCTCAAAACCATTCCCTTCTTGTTGGACATTTATATCACTTCCAACTTTTGTTCTACTACGAATAATGTTATGACAAATCTCCTTATATAAATCATTGTCTATATTCTGATTATTTTCATACAAGGGAGAATTTGAAGGTCAACAGCTATAGATTCTTTTAAGATATATATTGTTATATATCTTAATATATATTAACTTTTCTCCCAAATGATTATACCGATTTACTACTCTCCCTCCCACAGCAGGAGAGCACAAATCTGAGTTCACTTTCAAGCCATTAAGTGCGAATTCTGTTCCCACAAAAGCATAAGCTTCTGAGGACAAGACCAGAATGTTCACAATGAGATGAGGAATTAATGGCATAGATAAGCACGTGGGTCCTGAGTACATGAAATTGGTAATAAAACCGGATAGTACATAACATGCATCCCAGAGGTGACACACCCTGAAAATCTAATGGGAATGCCAGGGAGGTCAATGCCAGGGGACTGAGGCCACCAGGAGAGGCCTTCTGGAGGAATTGACAGGGAACAGGGTTTGGAAAGGCAAATAGTCATTGTGTAGCTGAGATGGAGTGGGGTGAGCATCCCCAGTGGACACAACAGAAGGGACAGGATGTATAAAAATTGACATGGCCAGTTTGGGAGACCCTGAGCAGGCCACACTCCAGATGGCACTGCCAGCTGCCTACTGGATGTCTCCTACCAGAGGGCTCAATGCTACATGTCGAGTGTAAAGTCGGCATTTTTCCTGGACCTGCCCCCTCCTCCCCAGTTCTGCTCCTGGATTCCTGCCTTGGCTTCCCTCCCCACCACCTCAGAGTCTTCTCTAATCTCTCCCTCGCCTTCTCCGGCAGGACATCATTCAGCATGTATATGAGGAACTTTGAAAAACTCCCAGATTCTCACTTTCAAAGACTGTTGTTCAGTGTCCAGTTATGACAGTATAACAGCCATATGAGCCATTGTTTCTCTGAGCCACTATCCCGTGATCTCTGAGAGAGCAGAGCCTGCACCTTATTCATCTTCTGTACCCCCTACCTCTACCCCCTGCACCTAGCACAGTGCCTCAGCACATAATAAATGTTAACGAAGGCACAGACCTAGAGAATGTCCCAGGACTAGAAGGTGACCTCAGTAGGGGTTTTTCAGAACCCATCTCTGACTTGCCCCCAAGGTCCTGGACCCTTCTGCCTTGGACTCACTGCAGGGGTTCAGCACATGCTACAGTTGAGTACAGTATTAAGGGGTGACAGAGCCATAAGCCACATCTAGGGCAGGATGCATTCGTGCACAAGGACAATGCAGTCTAAGGAAGTAAATTTTCTTTGCTATTTGGCTAAGTAAATGTTATTCATTTGAATGAGAAATAAGATAAAAAGAGAGAGGGAGGCGAACCATAAGAAACTCTTAAATACAGAGAACAAATTGAGGGTTGCTGGAGGGGAGGTGGGGGTGGGGTGGGCATTAAGGAGGACACTTGTTGGGATGAATACTGGGTGTTATATGTAAGTGAGGAATCCCAAAATTCTACTCCTGAAGTCATTATTACGCTGTACGTTAACTAACTTGGATTTAAATAAAATTTTAAAATAAATAAATAAATGAGAAATGGCCAATAGAATTAATTGGATATAGGATGAGTTCTCTACCTTTGGGTTTTATTTTGTCCAGTGGAATGCTAAAGTTGCCTGATGGAATAGAGAGTGCATGATTTATATAGAGACTGTGGATGGAATTTTTTCTTAAGTCACTCAGGTCTCTCGGTAGCACGCTCAACACGTGTGTCACTCAAACGACTCTCTCTGTCCTCTAGAATTCTTCAACGACCTGGATTTGCTCATGGGGCCTGTCACCCTGCACAGCAGCATGGAGCACCTGGTCCAATACTCACAGCAGGGCCTGCACTGGCTGCGGAACAGCACCCACCTGTCATAGGGAACTTGCCCCTGAGCTGGATTGTGCTCTCATCTCCATGGACGGCTCAATGTTTCTAGACACTGTGCTACTGAAATTCCCAGCCACAGCATTTATCGAACTGCGGTGAATATTTTCTCAGCATCGAACAATGGTCTTTTCCCAGGGCATGTGTGTTTGTATGTGTGGGCGTAAAAGAAGTTGCCTGTGTATGTGTGTAAGATATACAGCTCTTTAAAATACATTTTTGTCTAGTTTTCATAATCCCAAGCTAGACAAAGTGATCAGAGGTTTCTGATTAGAGAATATACACTTACACACATGCACGCACGCACAAAATCACACACACACACACACACACACACACACTTTCTATATCAAAGCTAAACCATGACTTCTTAGAACATTCAACCAAAATCTCATGGGTTAGTTAACCAGGTGCAATACAGCACACCAAAAGCTTGACTGCCAGTTAAGATGAACCTAGTTCTTATACTGTTGATTACTTTCAGTATTAATATACTATTCCCCAATTAATTTTTGATTGTGTGTATTATGGGTAATTGAATAACGAAAAAAGTCAGTTATTTTTGTGCTGGACGTTTACTAGATTGCATGTTACCAAATATCTTGCCTTTTGTCTAACACGCACCCTTCCATCCAACTTTATTATCAACTAAATGCGTTATAAGCAAATGGATCAAATCCCACAGGCCTTCCCTGCCCTGCCCCCAAAATCATATGAAAATGGCACTGGGATTTGGTAACAACAGTGTCATTGAAAGCTGACCAACAAGAACAGACAACTGAGCTTGGAGCTCAGTTGGGAATTGAAACCTTCTGCACGTGGAACAGTAAGCCTGCCCAGCCCACGTGTGTTTTCTTCCTGCCACTGTGACACAGCAGCCATAGAGCCACATGGCATTTGTCAGCCAATATGTTTCAAGTCTTTTCTTCCCACGATAGCTTTCTTGCAAATTTTCTTGGCCAAATGGGACATTACCTAGAACGTCTCTTCACTAGGAGTCTGTATCTGCTGCTTATCAGGCTGAGAAATATTTGCTATCGTGAGACTGTCTCACCCTCTCACTCTTTGTGCAGAATGCAGGCCTCTAATAGCATTTTGATCTGGGGGGATATGTTTCAGGCTTTGATTTGCAAGCTGCTTATTGTGCGGGGTGAGTTATTTTTGCAATGATCACAACCCTGTTTGGGGTAGCAACGACTGGAACATCATGTTTGCATCCTGTACGTCTGGTATGTTTACGTCTTGCCCTTGATTCTTTTCTTTTCAATTAAGTTTACATTTTAGTTTTTTGACATCTTGTTTACAGTCTTTGTATGAAACTTACTTCTTTTATAGTCTCTTGTCATGCCCTAGATTTAGTCTTCTTGTTAAATATATTTGAATATAAAAAATACTGGTAAGAAGAAAAACTTCTGCAAAAGAGGATATACCTTGCCATGTCCTTAAAAGCAAAAATAATGTGCTTGAAGCCTCTCACTTGACAGAATTGCACCAGGATGGTCTGAGAAAGAGTCAGGTGATGCAGTATGTGGAACGCTCCATTTTCCAAGGTGATGCTGGCACAAAACAGTTATAGTAGATTGTGATATATGCTTTCCCTGATGCTCTTACTGCTTTGGTTGTAATGTTAACATTTTTGTCACCTGATCTGTAGATGGGAAATAAGACTGCTGTCATTCTAAGCACTGATTCAAAACTGTACAAATGATTGAACAACTTAGGTGATTTGAAATGAATTTAAAGTGAAGGGTCTGAAGTGAAATGAAGCCAGTGAAGGGTTTGTGAAATTTGCATTTGGCTTTGGCCCTGAAATGTTACCACTATTTCTATTTTACATTTGTCCAACTGTGGGGCGCCTCACATCCCTTTCACTAGCTATTGGCAGAGTTTGCGATCCCATCCTATGTTGGAAATTTGAGTCTAACTTGGGAAATTTTGGATTTTTTTTTTTTTGGAGGACTAAAGCTTAGTTCTAGTTACCCTTGATGAATCCTGATGAAATGTTGAAACTCTCAAAGGGATGAACCTCAGGGTCCATCGTGCATCCCCTGGGTGCTTTCTGGCCCTGCCCATCCTCAAAGCCACAGGTCTTGTAGCGGCCCATAACGGCTTACCCACAAAACCCCATGTAGACCCACAGGAGGCCCCTGGCTGATTGTGCCCACAGCATTTTATCAGCACTTACGTGGCCCGTGTTCCGCAAAAAAAAACACTTGGAAGTCGTCATCTTGGAGATGGTCAGAGCATGCATTTCCTCTCCCTGTCTTTGATCTCATCAACTGACCACGTGAGGGCAGCAGTTTTTGTTGGCTTTGGCATAGATGATTTTGGTAAGGAACCATCTTCTGACTGTTACTTGTGAAAGTCATTCATGACTTATTCCTTTTATTTAGCTTTGTTCAAAGTAGAAATACCTTTCTTGTGTTTTTGGATTATAAAACTAATACATGCTCATTGTAAAGATTCAAACAATACAGCAATGTAGAAAGTAGAAGGTAGCAAGTCCCATCCCTGAAAGACAACCACTGTTGACAGTCTCATGTATATTTTTCCACAGATGCTCCCATTTAAACATACTATCATTTTTTTCTCTTTGAAGACATATAATTTCCTCAGAAGTTCAACATAAGTTCGACTGACCTTATCCTTCCATGACCTGAGTGGATGCCTTCCTTTATCACAATGTTAGAGTTACCTTTGAAAGTAACCCAAATATATTCCTGATCAAAATTTGGGATTTGTTACTACTCTCTACAGAGATCAGACTTACGTGAAGGAGTGTGCCTAGAAAGTGAGGTTTGATTAAAACAGATATTTCTGGAAACTTGCAGATTGCAGACAGAAACTCGGACCCCCTATCTAAAGAAGAATGTACTGGAAAAATAATCTGAAGAGTTGACAAATTGTGTGCTAGATCAAACACATGGAATGCAATGCAATGAGATTTTCTGCACTAAAACTTATCCTAGTATGTAAAACAATGATGTGTGTATTATATAACAGTGATGTGTACATTTCTGACATCCCATACATGATATACACAGTTTGTATAAATGCATACATTTAAAAATATATATGTACAATACAGCTAACATAAAACTGTAGTATGCCTGAAGGATATTACTAGTGCCTAACATTGAGTATAAGTCGCTGCGTGTTCGCATCACCTTGGAAGTGAAGTAATTGTTAAAACTTAATCAGTGCAGCCAACATTATTTATGAATCACATCTTTGAAACTGTGCAGTAGTATATACATATATATTTTTAAATAACATTTTTCACAGTTTTCCAGAGTTACTGTTGAAACCTGTATCACCAAAAAAAAAGCAAAACAAAAAAAAAAAAAAAAGCAAGATTTTTTTAATGACGTAGACACTCTTCAGACCCAGTAATCTGTGTGTGATTTCCTGTTTGTAGATACCCAAGAGACTTTAGCAGTCACCAGCCTTAATGCATGTACAGGATATTATTGTGACTTAATTTATCTGCAGTTTTTAATCCATGTGAAATTGGAATTTATAAACTGACTTGGATTAAATATGTCTGCCTTTCTAAGGTTGCAAATGTTACATTAAATGACTTATGTTGTAAATGAGAGAAACCGAGTTGTATGTAAAAAAAAAAAAATGTCCACCAATTTCTGTGAATATTTTTACAAGGAAACTTCAGAATCAAAATACGTTCAAATAAGAATTCTGGTCCCTCGTTCATAATCTCTTCAGAAGCAACCTTGTTGTTTCATGAATCTTTTAAATGTAGCTTCCATGGATTTTCATTACTATAGGCCTGACATTTTTCACAGTCAAGATGGAAGCATGTTCTCCTGCATTATAACTAGTTTACAACTTGTCTTTTCCATTTCCCAGCACATATATGCACACATGCATGTGCAGAAGAACACCCCCCAGTGTCCCAGAAAATGCTGAATAGAGAGCTTGAGGAGTTCATATTGATGACTGCATTGATGCCTGTCTACCCAGTAGTCCTGGTATACTGTTTTACCTAATATTCCTTAATGACGCAAGTTAACTTCTATGTGCCAGGTTTTTTCAACTCAGACCAACAAGGTGGAATAATGTTTACAATATTTGGTTGAGTAAAATAGGAGAATTTTGAACTAATGAAGACAGAAATATTAGAACAGTGGCTTGCCATTATATATCTCTCTGTGTGGGAGGGTTTTTTCTTAACCTTATTTTTACTCTTCTCCCCAAATTTTTTCAATCCATTCCTTCCCAAAGAAGCAGAAACAGCAACAAAAACAGAATGACTTTTTCACCTTACCCAGCCCCTACCCTTAGATTCAAATTGTCTTGTCTTGCAAGAGGACCCTAACTCGGGGCCACTATGGAGACCACCTCATCCCAGAAATGGCCAGGACAGGGGACTGGCTTTGCTTGCTCCAGAGACCTTGATACTCTTTTCAGAAGTGGTTTGGGCTAAGAAACACTCAACAGTCTTTCAGGAACTGTCTTTCTCTTACACAGTTTGCCTGCTATTGAAGTCTATACTAATCAGAATCATATTTTTAAGAAGTAACACATTTTCAATGAAACATGGACCAACTGGAGTCTTGAAAGACATTTTTTAATGAAAGAAAGAAAACCTAACAACATAAACTGCATTTCCAACAATTTTTCAAGCACAGTTTTCATTATTACAACTTCCTAACAAATAGCACAAGAAATGTTCAGATTTGAGATCTGTGTTCTCTTTGTCCAAACTGAATTATTCTGTATATGTCATCAGAGGGGTCAATTTGTTTGTGTGGCATGAGGGAAATTATAAAACTCTGTTCTCAAACTAATTACATCTGACCATAGTTTTGGTTTTTATTATTTAATTGGCATTCTGAGGCAGCAGGGGGTAATTTGGGGCTGGCTCCAAGGGGAGTCAGCTTCACAGCTCTTCGAGTAATGGGAATCAGGGGATTAAACCTCTATGTGTTGATTTGAAAATCCACCTCTTAACAGCCAGTTTTAAACACATTGATCCGAGGGATGAACTCAAGGTACTAACTGCAAGTCAAAACAATCATTGGCGTTTGTCTTGAAGCATCAGGAAGTAATGATGAGGCCTGGAAAGCTGAATCAAGGACGTGTTTTCTACTCATTTCTGACATAGGAAAAGCTCATCGGAAAATATATCCAAAGACAATGTCAAATAGTACCAGTGTTTAGGCTTTTCAAACAGTGGTGCTTGGTTAGAAAAATAATTACAATATTCTGGCTCCTGTATTGTTCTTCAACCCTTTTTCAGTTTTCCATAAAACAAAACTCACTTTTTCCCCAGCATTTATCATCTCTTGATTTCTAGATGTCCAGATGAGCAAAGAGAAAATACTTAACACTGAGGAATACACACTACCTGACTGAACAGCATTCTACTCACAGTAGTCAAAGATACATGACTTATATTAAAGTCTCCTCTGTTACCCCCATCCTACAAAATGAGAGATCACAAAGCCTAAAGTATGGCCATGTAGTTGAGATGTCAAAAAGTCTAAGCACATAACACACTAATCTTTGGTGACAGACACGTTTGTGACCTCACCAGCTATCTCTGGGGCCTATTTGTGTGGTGAAATATCAATATTAACACTTTCCTTTGAGTAATTTGCAACCTGATTATTAATCTTCTGAAGTTCCTAGGGCTGCCAGCTCAACCCAAAAGTGTCCTGCCCTGTGAGCTGGGTTATTTTTTTGTTCCTTTGGTTTTTTGTTTCCCTTCTAAGTTCCATATGTCAGGTTTAGTATCTTGACTTTTTAGATGAACAGTTACTAGAGACAGTGGAAGCTTTAAGAAAACAAGGATTCAATATTAGAACTCAGTGATGTTGGGATGAGAACTCAGGAAAACACTCCCCTCCTTCACCTGCTGCACCTGATCTTTGACTAAAGCTCCCTTGTATACTGCAGTTTCCTCTATGTGAAATGTAACTCAGAACACCCACGACCTCAGACAGAGTGTGAGGATCAACAGATCTGGGCAAGCATTTTGAGATCCCCAGCTGTCACACTCAGCAAGAGTCACGCATTGTCAGCACAGAAGCAACAGAAATATACTGTATCTACAGGCACCAAGATACAAAGGTGTGTGATGCAGGGCATGGGACTCTGTCCCAGCCCTGACTAGATTCCAGAGGACCAGGAAGATGACAGTGGGATAACCACAGACCCTTTCATAAGACTCTTCAGCCTTTGTCATTACCGCTTTGAGTCCATCCTGCCTGTAGGCAGAGCTCTAAGACCAATGATGGCGGCGGGGAGGGAGAGTCCTTGCCAAGAGCAGCAGGGCTACCAAGTACCCCAGTTGGTGGTGCAATCGCCCCTCCCCTTTCTCATCCAGTCCCAGCCTTAAGAAATCAAGGGGTGTCCAGATGGAAAGGGGAAGAAGGAACATTGGGTCCAAGCTTCCAGTGTGCACCATCTTCCAGGAGAAAACTTACTTATTGAACACCATGTTTCAATATCTTCATAGAGCCAGAGAACACAGCACAGTCTCATTTTCCATACTCTCATGGTGTTTCTTTGAGTGCCAGGAGGCTGAGTTGCCTACATGTGCACCTTGTGCCTCTGATTGTTTGTTTGCTTGTCTGTCTGTCTGGGGCCAGGAGGTGGAAGATAAGCTTCTTTGGGAGGTTTATTCCTGAGAAAGGAGATCTGTCATAAGGGACTTGGGTATGTCATGAGCTTCAGGAAAAAGGAAACCTCTCTTGAGAGAAGGTAAATATTTTCTCTAGTGGGTTAGGTTGCCTCAACATAATCACTTAATTGTAGGCTACATTTTAGTCAGTGTACCAGGAGAGGGAAAAATCAACGTAAGACCTTAGTAATTTTTGTGATGCCCAACTAGTGACTGTATATTCTAGCCCCAAACATTGAAACGAAAACTGGAAATCTGACTAATCTGAATGTTTCATACCACCGCGGTCAAGGTCCTCAATGTTGGATAGAAGTTTTTAGCTTTTGTCTAATATTTCTATTATTTAGACACAGGGCTTCCTTGTATCCCCTAAATCAGTGCTTTGATGTAACCAAAATAATCATGAAATACCCATTGAAAAGGGCTTTTTTTTCTTTTCGTCCCCATTGGAAAATCCCTAGGTTTTCTCCAGTACAAAAGAGCAATCGCTGAAGGTCTTACAAGATCCATCCTCATTTGGGCCCAAATCGATACTAACACCCTTTCCACAAAAGCACAACACCTTATCCAGTGTGAATTCTATTTAGGTAAAAAAAAAAAAAAAAAAAAATCTAGAATGGCAACATGGGGTTTATTAGCATGAGGAGGTGTCGATCCACTAGCTAGGCACTTGGATGCTATACTGCCTTTTCTCAGGCAGGATGTTATGGAACAAACACTCCTACTACAGCATAATAAATAGCAGCTTACTCTATGGTTCTGTGGAATCAAGTTGAAAGTCACTCCCATGTAAGTTTGCCTCAGTCAGAGCAGGAATTTTAAATTCCACCCTTTTATCCTGGATCATCTTAGATGTTTATTCATGGAGTTGGCAACGCTAACTCAATATTCCTATATAGCATGTCACATCAAACACCGTTTCAAATTGTGTATCTCGGCCTTGGGAGAGCTGTCTGTCAGCAACCTGGGAACCTGCTTATGTCCCACGAGACTTTTCCACTGATCCAATTTTAGCAGCTGCAAAACCAGATTACAGGGCCTTTATCTTCTCCTCTTACAGGAATTGGTCTTACAACTGTTTCCAGAATTGAAGAGGATTTTAAGTAGGACAATTGTGTACAGTAATTTATGCTGTAAAAATGTACCCATTGTAGCATTGATTAAAGTGCTGTATTTATAAGGTCAAATACTATTTTCATTTGTGTCTAGTTATTCAATATTAAAATAGCTGAAGTTCGTTTTTCTTAATGTGATATTTATTTGGGGCTTCTTGTTAGAGCATTCGGGTATGGCTATGGAGGAAGTCCAGAATCTGTGTTGATAGTCACTATTTTAATCCAAGTAGTTGTAATGGTCTATTAAGCACCAACATTACGAACACTATTACTGATGAAACCATGTGCTCTTGGCTGTGTCTTTAAGTACGTGATAAAAATCTAACCCAAGCAATTAATAAAGACCATTGGCTTTAATAAGGTTTACTTCCTCCAGCTTTTCTTCTCAAAATGCATTAACACTTTTTCCAGCGAAATTCCAAAGCATCCTCACAAAATCCCACAAGATCTCTTACTCCTAGAGAGGGGTCTCATCTCCCAGGCTTCTTCTAAGATGTCTGCATGCCTGAAGCCTAAAGTGTTTCACTTTGGGGGTTGCTAATGTCTGTGTAAGGAAGTGCAAATATTAAATCCCCTTTCTACGTCTCTCTCTCCGTGTAAGAAAAAGTTGCAGGGCACCTGGGTGGCTTAGTCGGTTAAGCGTCCAACTCTTGACTTTGGCTCAGGTCATGATCTCACAGTCCATAGGAAAAAGCCCTGCTTGGAATTCTCTCTCTCCTCTCTCTCTGCCCCTCCCCTGTTCATGTGCTCTCCCTCTCAATATAAATAAATAAATAAATAAACTTAAAAAAAAAGAAAAGAGTTGCTCCCACATAGCTGTAATTATCATATGACAAATAAAACTCCACATTCAAATTGTGAATTATTCAATAGTGAATTATTTTGGCAAGGTGTTAGGAAGGAGTGGAGTGTGTGTCTAATATTAAGGAGTTGTCTAAGGAGATCTTATATTTTGTCTGAGTTTAAATTTACACGTACGGGGGTGCGTGGGTGGCTCAGTCAGTTAAGCATCCAACTTTGGCTTAGGTCATGATCCCACAGTTTGTGGGTTCAAGCCCCGCATCAGGCTCTGTGCTGACAGCTCAGAGCCTGGAGCCTGCTTTGGATTGTGCGTCTCCCTCTCTCTCTGCCCCTCTTCTGCTTGTGCTCTGTCTCACAAAAATAAAAATGTTAAAAAATGTTTAAAAAATTTTTACATGTACAAAAATTTTGGAATCATTGTCTCTTATTTTACTGTTTGAAAATTTTGCTGTGTCTATAAGTCACATAAAAATCATGCAGAACAGTTTCTGGAATAGATAAACATCTTGCTATACTGTAACAGAATGAACCTCAAGGATTTATAAGTATAAGCACTTTTATATTTGAATGCATTTTATATTTTATATTTAATGCATCAGTGAAGTTAATTTTTAATGTCTTGATAAACCTTGAAATCAACATCACTCTGTCTCACAAACATCCTACTGCTTCTTCTTAGAACTTCTGAGTAAAATATCCTTTCCTATGTGTTACAGTATTTTGTTTTAAGTAGAATCACCTAGTCACAAACTTATCTTTTCTCTGCAAAGATTTGAATCCACCTGAACTACTAAGCTGGATAATGCATTTGACAGAAAGGAACACCAATCTGAGAATGCTCTTGACAGGCAATGTTAAATGTCACTTTAGAGTGAAAAAGAAATAAAACAACCTATGAGAGAGCCTGGAATATTCTTGCTAAGAGAGTTTTTTTTATTTTGTTTCTTTGGTTTTATACATGCCAAGCTTTGTTTACTATAAAGCAATGTCTAAATGGAGGCTGTTACATTGTGACATAGTTCTAACACAACAGACAAAAATATTCCATGCTCACTGCACACTGAGCAGCATGGAGCCTGCTTGGGATTCTCCCTCTCGCTCTCCACCGCTCCCCCACTCATGCTCTCTCTGTCTCTCTCAAAGTAAATAAAAAACTTAAAAAACTATATACATATATATACATACATACATATATATACATACATATATATACATATATGTATACATATATACATATATGTATATATACATATATGTATATATATGTGATGGACTCGTGCCATTTTTGTTTCACTACATTTCTTTTTTCCAGTTTTTTAAACTCTATTTCAATCAAACAAGTAATATGAGAACACAATCTTATCTTTTAAAAATGTATGCAATTAAATAGTTAAGCATTGCTGTTGATTCATCCTTTTAAAATGTAGAATTTATTGGTTTTTAGCATGTCCACAAGGTTGTGCAACCATCACCATAGTCTAAATACAGAGCATTTGCACTACCCCAAAAAGACACCCCATACTCACTAGCAGTCACTCCCCATAGCGCCTTCCCCAGGCCCCTGGCAGCCAGCAATCTGTTTACTGTCTCAATAGATTTGCCTATTCTGGACATTTCATATAAATGAAATGATACAACAAGTGGCCTTTTTTGTTGGCCTTCCTTCACTTAGCATAACGTTATCAAGGTTCATCCCTACTGTAACATGTATAAGCACTTCATTCTTTTCTAAGACTAAACAAGATTCCATTGTATAGACATACCATATTTTGTTTATTCATCAGTCAATAGGCACTGGGTTGTTCTCACTTTTTGGCTATTATGAATGATGATGCTATTAATATTCATAGCACAAGTTTGTGAGTATATGTGTCCAGTGCTCTTGTGTATATACCTTCTTGAGAAATTGCTGGTCATGGGATAACTCCATGTTTCATTTTTTGAGGGGAGAATGGGGAGTGACGGTTGATGGGGTACAGGATCCTTGTCGGGTAGTGAAAATGTTGTGGAATTAGAAAGTGGTTAAGGTTGCACATTGTGAATATACTGAAATCCACGGAGTTGTACACTTTGAAAGGAGGAATTTTATGGTATGTGAATTACATCTCAATTTCAAAAGTAGTCAGTATTTATTTAGACTTAGCATGAGAGCTTGCCAGTTGTTTTGTTGCTTCTTGTATCATACTTCCTGAGTTGATTCTTTTTTCAGATCAGATCTGAGATGTAAAATTTTTTAATCTTTGCATGTCTGAAAGTATCTTGCTTTGTGCCTTCACACTTGTGTCATAGTTTCACCTATTATGGAATGCTAATTCGAAAGGATTTTCCTTGGAAGTTTGAAGATACTGTTCCAGTCTCTTTTTGCATCTCATGTTGTCTTTGTAGTAACAGAGCCCCTCCTCTCCCCATCCCACTATTCCCAGAAAGCATTTAGAGTTTTCCCTCTATCCTTGATGTCTGAAATGTCACCACGACACAGCTTGGTAGGAGTCTCTCATTTTGTTTGTCCTTGACTCTGCACATCCGCCATGGGCACTTGCACTCTGGGCTCCACACCTGTCCTCACTCTGGGACACTGTCTTCTATGCCTGGTGAGTGTACTCTGTCCTCCATGCCTTCTGTCCTTATCTCCTGAAGATCTGTTCAATGAATGCTGGGAACTTCTGGGTTCATCTTCTGATTCTCTTGACCCTCTTTATACTTTGTCTCCCTGTCCGTTTTTGCTATTCTGAGAGAATTCCTTGGCTCACCCTTTCAACTTATTCTCTTGTCAGCGGCAATGCTTCTGCCCACTTACTGAGAGTTTTATTTTACTTCAGTCGTCAAATTCTTCATTTCCAACATCTCTAAAGCCTTCCTTTTTGTGGGCAATATCATTTTATTTCTCTCTGAGGATTCTAATTATATATGTGCCTGTTGGCTTGTTCTGTTTGCTCTATTAAGTCTGCTTCTTTGGATGTAAACTTTTGCATTTGTTGGGGTTGGTACAACTCTCTTGTATGGCTTTTTCCAACTGTTTAGAGGTTTTTGGCTGTGTGCTCCACTTCACATTTGAGCTCTCAGCCTTTCTGCCAATGTTCTATTTACTGCATCTAATCTCCTGGGCATAGAGGGCACCTTACCCCTCCTGGGGGTTGCCAGGGCCCCATCTCAACCTCCATCACAACCATTAGAACCCAGTGGTTCTTACTGGGTGACTAACACCCTTAGTGCTTGCTTCTTAACCTGAGGGTGGACAGGGTGGACAGGTGGTTGCTCCTATATGGCATCCCAAGTGATTAACGACCCCCGCTGGAAACCTCCCAATATTCTTGACCTCCAATCTCATCAAATCCTGGATCAGCCCTCTCTATGTTTTAGTACTGCACAACCTCAGGACTGTGATTTTCTTCTTCATGATGACCCTAGACTTTTCCCATCCTTAAGAGCTGCCTCAAAGTTCCTGGACCTTTCAATACACTGCCTCTTGTTTTTAGTGCAGTTGTGGTTTGTTTTTGCTGTTGTTGTTATATCTCTTTGGCCATCTTGATCCCCTCTCTCCTTTAATGAAATCAAGTCCCAGTGTTTGTCAGTGGCAGGAGAATTGCCCTATAGCAATCAGGCTTGATGCAACTCAGGCTTCCTTATGGGATGTTCTGCATGTTGCTGGTCTGCATTCCTTCCTATTCCATCTAACATGCTTTCCGAGATGGCCTTGGACTTCTAGACTCTGCATTGCGGGGAGCCTTACCCCTCAGCTAACCAGCTCTGGTTATCCTGGCTTTTCTGATGTAGTCACTGCTCAACTCCTTGAAAACCACTTTGCTGCCCGTTCCTGCAGCTGCTGCACCACACCTCTGGTGAATGTATCCAGCGGCGACCCTGAGAGGTCTCTCCCTGCTGGCTGGTTTTGGCCTTTGTTGCCTCTGCCACACCCATGAGTCCAGTGTGAAGTAGATTTTTGGCATCTATCCCAGATTTAACCTTAAAACTTCCCCCTTCTCCATCACAGAGCATGCTGAGGCCATTTCTACTCTGGCCTTGAAAGAGTCACATGCAGAAGCCAAGTCAGGTGGTTCCAACTCCACTGCTGGTCAACACAGCACATGAGTATAAACCAGGGACCTGTCGCAAGAGCAGTGGCAGAAATCAGTTGTTAGTACTGAGACAGAAGAGCTGGGAGCAACAAGGAGACTTGACCGTGAGTTGCCTGGACACTGAGATGTGACTCCTGACATGGGGCTGGCTCAGAGTCCAGAGCCTGGGGTGGGTGACCTCCAGGTGGAGGTTCTGTGGCTTCAGTCATGAAGAGGAAAAGGCTGAGGGGTAGAGAGAAAATAAA